GTCACTACATTGCTCAGAAACGTTTTGAGTGTGAAGACCCCGTGATCGCAAGAAGATCCTAAAAACTATGACTGAGTTGACTATATGGATTTTAAAAGCCAGCACTTGCTGCTGCTCACTCGTTCATAATTCGCGCTTTTTCTATCGTAACATCTTCGACTTCGTAAAAAAATCTTTAACCCCATGACGCCGATTTTTGAGTTAACTGACTTGCTTTTTTTACTTAGTTCGTCAAACTATTTCTTCCGTTTATCGTGAATATACTTAAGAATAACCTTGGCTCCTTACTCTTGACTTTTTAAGTGGGGCGATATATAAGTTCCTTAGCATAAAATCAAGAGCCATAAGCATTGAACAAAGCCGGACAAGAGAGCCCATGTACTGTGGAACGAGCTGGAACCTCCATATAACAAGGGGTTAAGGGACTGGAAAAATATATTAATATATTATCTGCTTCTTTTTTGTTGTATTCTCTATAACGAGGATTTGTAAAATCGAGGTTGTTTTCATAGTATATGTTATGAATAATAAATAATGGGGCGAAGAATATCGTTCGTTATACAGTCAATTCTCTCTGGGACCGGCACTATACTTGTCCGTGTAAAAATGATGTCCGTCTGATAAAGACTGTTGCGAATAAAGGAAATAAAGAAAGGCAGGAACCAACTCTACGTTTCCATTTTACCGAGGTGTCCCGTTAGAGAGACTCTCGGTATGAGTCGACTGTATACAGCTATTTCGAGAAAGGTTGTCGGAAAAAGTGCACGCGCCAATCCTGAAAGGTATTGTGAGTGGTTTTGCGTTCACTGTTCTTCAAAGAAATTTGAAAGAATGGCACGAGAGGCCATTAAAGTATGTATGCGAGTTTTAAAGTAAAGCAACAAAATTAGTTTTGACAGTTACAGTGTCAGGAACAGAGTATTGATCATGTCCCATATTACCTTTCGGGATTGTCGAGTGCACATTTTTTTCCGACAACCTTTCTGGAAATAGCCGTATACTGAGGTCTCCGTTACACGACAGAGGTTCGTTATATAAATCTAGGTTCTTCTGTATAGATCCCAACGTTGGTACTGAATAAAACAGACCGGTGAGGAAGAGTCACTAATTTTACTTTCTATATCTTTTATTCATTTTAATTTTTGTCGGGGGCATTTTAAATAATTGTAGACTTGCAGAGTTACACGTAAATGTTATCAACTCGGCCCTCTACTGTAGTATCTCTGCATAGTGGCAGAGGTGTCGGTTGTAGCTTTTGCCTTTGAAAGTTGTCGTCCTTTTTAGTAGAGGTGTTTGTCTCAAAGAAAGTCTAGAGGAAATTTTGTGAGAGTTTTATTTTCTACATAATTTCATCGGCCGGTGATTACAGACGAGCGGAAATCTTGCTTCAGAGAACTTTAGGATTCGTCTACACAGTACACAGGAAAAGTTCTACTTAACAAGTTTTCCTTGGTTGCGCGTGTAAATTAACTGCAAAAGGGATCATTTAACAGGTTTCTTACCTCTTCAAGTAAAAAAAAAAAACGCTTGTCAAGTTTTAAAACTCACATGAACAAGTTTTTCTTGTCGTCTCAGTCTGCGGTATGGAAAAATTGAACTCGCTATAGAAATCTAAAGATTTGAAACTCGCCTACGCATAAGATTTTCTTAGACTGACGTGCGCCCCATATATCCGTCATTTTTAGCATTTTTTTTATTTAAGAGTTACCACCTACTGATCTAGACAGGGCTGAATCGAATCACGCTTTAATAAGGAGGAAGAAGAAGAAGCCAAGTTCACATGCAGTGCACAGCACACGCGAAATGATGCAACGGTTACTTATAGAATACGATCCCTGTACGTGTTGTCGCCTGCCGAAGCACACATTGTCATTGGACATTTTACGTTTCAAACGCCTCTCTTCACGCTTCTCTGGGTCGCTAAAATGGAGTGGCTTTTCCCTGAGTCATGGAAAAAAAAACGAGCCAAAACTTCCTGTTTTAGCACGGGAAGTTTGCTTGATAGAAAATATTGTTGTCTCTTTTTTCTTATATTTGCATTAGTTTTGTTGGACAATCATTACGTAACCATGTATTGATTCTTGAATATATAGTTAGTTTTGTTGATGGTTGAGTACAAATTAGAGATGTTTTTTCATTTTGTTTTTGATTATTCATAGTCACGCCTGAGCATAAATTGTTGAAACCACAAGTCTCTTAAGGTGATGCTACGCGAGACGATTCGCAACGACGATTTTTAGCCGACAAAACAGCGTTGCAACATTGTTGCGACATTAGAGACCTTTAGCATCAGGTAAACTGCAAACCGCAAACCGCAGTTACGCGTTTGCAGTTTCACGTTGCCGAGATTTCAAACTTTAGCAAGGCGTTCATGCCCAGTTCAGTTCAGTTCAGTTCACTTTTATTTAGCCAAAATACAATACAATACAAGAATACATATACGAATTGTATGGTTGCAAGGGAGCCCAGAAGAAACCAGAAGGCTTTATGAAGCCTGAGCTCCCCAGTCTAAAAGAAATAAGCAAAATAAAATGATATTTGCGGAGTGATACGTTAAAAATAGGAACCAAACAGAGACTGAGTTAAGTCATGAATTTAGTAACAAGATGGAAAAAAAAATTTAACTCTGGATTGGAACAGAATACTTTCCATTGTTAGTACGGCAGAAAGGAATATAAAATTGATTTGAACTACGCGTTCATTGTTTAGGGCCGCCATGTTGTTTTCATCAAGTCGAAGTGCATCACTTTAATCGCCCAAAAATCAGCAATAATTCATTGATTCGAGATCAAAAATCCAACAAACACATCGCAAACGGATACAAAAAGCTAGTTCATACCTTTAAACGCGAGGCTGTACTATTTTTTGTGGCAAAAAACCTTGCCGTAAATCACTTACCGCTGGAAGCCCTTTCTGCGGGCATACTGTATGTTGTGGACTGGACTGGACTGGACTGGACTGGACTAGTAAAACGCGGACTAGTAAAACGCGGACTAGTAGAACGCGGCCTCAGGATAGGCTCCTGCGAACGTTTTTTTTTTTTTTAGATTTTTTCCGCGTTTGTAAATCGGTTAAAACTGAACGGTGAACAGACTTACACTTTACACCAGGAATCTTAGTTTTCGCCAGACTTGCGTTTCTGGACAGCAAGGTTACACGATGTTATGGCTGTGGCTACTCCTTGAAGCCAGACGGAACCATACCCCATCCGCCTGATGACCTTGTGCTAACTACAAGACTTCACCGACAATATTACAAGGCAGGTCAGCAACAAACGTCACCAGATATTTCAAATGTGTACTACCATGTCAACCCATTCTGCATCAGGGTGACCTTTCCTTCCTTCGAGCCAAATTTATGCCGAATACCAGCCGATCTCCAACCGTTTCTTCTCCAAGAACACAAACAGATGATCGTACAAAGGCTTGCTGTAACTTTCTAGTTGGACTGTGGTCTGATACGATCATGTCACCATATCATGTCCCGACTATTTGAAAGCATTAGACCTTGAAAACTAAGACTTTTTTATTGTCATTGACGACGTTGAACTGTAGAATCTGGAATTGTTACTTTACAATATTATGTGATACAGATTACAATGACGCTAAATTCCATTGTGAATCTTATTTGTAGATTTATTTGTATTGCATACGTTACTGTTAGGAGTAATGATACCTCTTTTTTCAAGGTAACCTTTTTTTATTGTTATTGACGTCGTTGAACAGTTCAGAGATGTATGTAACATCTGGGATTCTTAGTTTAGTGAAAAAGTCTTCCCTCAGTTTTGTTAAAAAACGAAAATTGTCGGCTCGAGTCTCCAAAGTTGTGCAGTTTTCATAGCTATTAAACACCCACAATACAATCACGTTCATCTCTAGATACAACTATTACTTAACAATGTTATATGATACATATAACAATGACGCTAAATTAGATTTTGAATGTTATTTGTAGATTTATTTGTATTGTTTTCATTAATGTTTAGAGTTATGATACCTCTTATTTTCACTTTAGACGTTCATTGAATAGTAGATAATCGTGTTAATAAAGCCAACATTTTTTTTGGGTTTTACTAGTCCGCGTTTTACCAGTCCGCGTTTTACTAGTCCGCGTTTTACCAGTCCGCGTTTTACTAGTCCACGTTTTACCAGTCCGCGTCTTACTAGTCCTCGTTTTACTAGTCCGCGTTTTACTAGTCCAGTCCATTCCAGTCCAGTCCACGAAATACAGTATGCCCTTCCTGCGGTTCAAACGTGAACTGCAAACTGCAAACGTGACCGCAAGGCCGTGGTCACAAGACATTTTGCGGTTTGCGGTTTGCCGTTTCCCACGACAAACCTGATGCTAAAGGTCCCTATTGTTTCGAATAGTTACAACACTGTTCCAACATTGCGACGTTGTGTTGCGCTAAAATTCGCCGTTGCGAATCGTCGCGTGTATAGTGTAACATCAACTTTAAGGCACCTCATTTCTAGCCTGCGTAGCATGCAGGCGCCGGTTATTCTTTTAAGGCCGTTGTCCTCGAGATTTCTTCCTTCGCCTGCTAGACAGGTTACTTCATTTCGCTTCAATATATCACAACTATTCCTTTCCATTTGTAAAATAAGCTCTTGTCAGAGAAATATGTAGGTGCCTTTGAAGGGCATTCAATGGTAGGATTTAAATGACTAACACATTTATTTTCTGCTCTCAAACCTCCTCAAGCATTACTCCTGATTACTCCTTAGCTTGCTTATTATCACAACCCACCCTCGCGTAACCTCGCGTGCGCTTCATGCACCTTCCACGAAGCGCGCATTAAGGACTGGTAACAACAATCTTAATCCCATAATTCCCTGTTGCCGTGCATGAGTCTTTCTCTCTCAAATAGCCCTCGAAGGTTTGTGTGCAACTCATGAAAACTTCAAAATTATCCAATCCATCAAGGCCCTTAACTTTGAAATTTCAATCTTTTCTGCATCGGTCCTTGTTTTTTAACTATTCTTTATTTGTCTTGTAAGATGTCGAAGAAAAGCGACAAGAAGAAAGGGCGTTCTGCCATCAATGAAGTTGTAACTCGTGAATACACAATAAACGTACACAAGAGGATCCATGGCATGTAAGATTCGCGTTTTCTGGCAGTTTTTGCTAATAAAAGTNGTTTGCGGTTTGCCGTTTCCCACGACAAACCTGATGCTAAAGGTCCCTATTGTTTCGAATAGTTACAACACTGTTCCAACATTGCGACGTTGTGTTGCGCTAAAATTCGCCGTTGCGAATCGTCGCGTGTATAGTGTAACATCAACTTTAAGGCACCTCATTTCTAGCCTGCGTAGCATGCAGGCGCCGGTTATTCTTTTAAGGCCGTTGTCCTCGAGATTTCTTCCTTCGCCTGCTAGACAGGTTACTTCATTTCGCTTCAATATATCACAACTATTCCTTTCCATTTGTAAAATAAGCTCTTGTCAGAGAAATATGTAGGTGCCTTTGAAGGGCATTCAATGGTAGGATTTAAATGACTAACACATTTATTTTCTGCTCTCAAACCTCCTCAAGCATTACTCCTGATTACTCCTTAGCTTGCTTATTATCACAACCCACCCTCGCGTAACCTCGCGTGCGCTTCATGCACCTTCCACGAAGCGCGCATTAAGGACTGGTAACAACAATCTTAATCCCATAATTCCCTGTTGCCGTGCATGAGTCTTTCTCTCTCAAATAGCCCTCGAAGGTTTGTGTGCAACTCATGAAAACTTCAAAATTATCCAATCCATCAAGGCCCTTAACTTTGAAATTTCAATCTTTTCTGCATCGGTCCTTGTTTTTTAACTATTCTTTATTTGTCTTGTAAGATGTCGAAGAAAAGCGACAAGAAGAAAGGGCGTTCTGCCATCAATGAAGTTGTAACTCGTGAATACACAATAAACGTACACAAGAGGATCCATGGCATGTAAGATTCGCGTTTTCTGGCAGTTTTTGCTAATAATAGTAGAATAAAATTTCTTGACCCAGTCAAGGTCGAGGACCTTTTTTGAAGTCTAATCTCGTGGATTTTTTTAAATTTCAAAGGTTAAAATTTCCACAATTTTACACCACAGGCAAAGCAGTCTGTACTTCAACGTCTATAACCCTTTTTATAGTTAAAGCAAAATCGTTGTTTTTCGATGTCTCAAGTCAGATGATTGATGGATCCATTGTTTCACAAAATTTAAGAAAAATATAAAGAATTAAATAAAATCTGTAACTATTTTCTGTTGTGGTTATTCGGGTTTATAATAATACTTTCCACGAGAAGACGAGGTTTTTTTTTTGCGAGGACAGGTAATTAACTTTGTGTCGCACATATGCGGCTGAGATCATGTCTAATGGTTCTACCTGTGGTAAAAGTTATACATGTGTTGTTAGTATGAGATTTACATGACCTCGTATTCTCGGATATTTACAAAATTTCTGCAAAGCCTTTACATTCTCGATGCATACATTTAATTTTCTGTTGTTGTCTATTCTTGTTCACTATTTGCATATAAAATAAGAGTATTGCATGCATATTAAAATGCAAAATGCTTTTAACAGTGGATTCAAGAGACGAGCTCCAAGGGCTATCAAGGAAATAAAGAAGTTTGCGGAAAAGATGATGGGGACCCCAGATGTCCGTGTAGACACTAACTTGAACAAACATGTGTGGTCTAAGGGTATCAGGTGTGTTTTCTTTACTGCTACGACCAAAATCACTCAACTGTTAGATCCCCGCAAAGAAGAGTATGAGAGTATGGTTTCACAGATTTGAGTCCAGCTACATTGAAAGGTTCATGAATTTAAAAAAATCAAGTCATCATGTATTTGAGAAAACATGCTGACTTTACTGTTATCTAACCTAAAAAGCCACTGTATTTCCCACTAGAATTGATTGAGAACAAACTTCCACATACGACCACCTCTCACAACATCCTCGGAGACTCGGGAATGGTCAGTCAGGTCAGGAAAAACATTGGTGAAAGTCTTTAAGGACAGCAAGAGAGGTTTCTAAGAGTGACCTCCTCTAAGGGACCTCCAAACATTGGCATTTGAGGTGCATGCTTAAACGCACTTATACAATTGGGGAAACAATCAAGCAAACTAAGTTACCACTGGAACCTCATCCGAAAACAAAAGACAGGGTGCAAAGAAAGTCAGTTTTACAGCCTGCCATTCGGGCAAGCTGTAGCTAGCATGTACTAGCCCATAAGTCATTTCAACTAGCCCCCAAACCCTTTTTGATTAGCAGGACTGATTACAATCCTTCTGTAATTTGAATTTCCCAAAAAAACAGCACTTTCCTGTCGGGCAAGTTAAGAACAAAAATCACTAGCCCAATGGCAAAATCCACTAGCCCCGGGCTATCAGACAGGAATTTCTTCGCACGCTGCAAAGAGCTGCAACATACAGGGGTTCAATGGAATAGGAGGGTTTTTTAAAGTGGTTCGACACCTCTGCATGCTTATGGAAGGTTTTATAGTGATTTTACTTGATCCGTGAAATAGGTAGTGGAATACTATACGCTATGGTGCACTAATTCTATTGTCTTCTTTTGTCGATTTATAGCTATTTTGCACTAGTTGTTTTAATCTGTTTCACTGGTCAAGTAAAATCACTCTATTGTAGTTCTTTTTCTCTCATCTGGCTTTATTGTTGTTCTTCACTGTATTGGAAAAGTTTAGTTTACACAGGTATTGTTTTGGCCAAGGACATTTCTCTCAATGTTGTATTTTTATTTTGGTTTTCTAGAAATGTACCATTTAGGGTCAGAATTCGTCTTGCTCGTAAGAGAAATGAAGATGAAGACTCTATTCACAAATTGTATACCCTTGTTACTCATGTTCCTGTTGCTACATTCAAGGGTAAGTCTTTCATTGTTTTATAATACACTACACTGGAACTATGGCCACCTTGTCAATATGACCACATTCAGTTGCGGACCAAAATGAGGCCAGAAGGGCTGAAAAAAAATTTTTTGAGATCCCCCCTCCCTTCCCCCCTTTATCTCAGGGTCTAGATGACGCCTGCCCTGCTTTATCTGACGGTCTGGATCCGCCACCGACATTCTTATGGCTTCAAATGTAAAAGCACACTGTCATTTAAAGGCCTAGTTGTTTACTTATGCTGGCCAACTGTCTGGCCAGAAGTTAATAGACAGTCCACAGGGCTGTCTTTAAGGGCAAGGGGACAAGAATTTCCCAAGCTGCTATAAGCACAATGTGTAGAAAACGCTAAATGAAAAAAGAACCAAAAGAACTTCCTACTCTGTAGCTGCTTAAATGTACCTGGCAACTTGAAATCTTAGTGTCAGCCTTGTTGTCACTACCCAATAACTAAAGGATGCTGTAACACCAAGGGACTCCTAATGTGAAGTCATGCTTTAACGTTTTTCTTAAAATAATTTAAAGTAATATCTTATTGCTGTTTTCCACGGCAAATGTTTTATGAAATTGCGTTTTTATTCTGATTTTGTTGTTTATTTATTTCCAGGGCTACAAACACAAAAGGTGGAAAGTGAGGACTGAGCTTCTGTACAAAAATAAAGTTCTGAATTTAAAAAAATAACCAAGTTGCTGTTTTTGTTGATGTTTTGAAAACCGTTTCATACTGCACAGTCTTGAAAAGTCCTTGAATTTTCTTCAACTTTGAAAGTAGTGGCAGGGAAAGTGTTTTTTTAATGCTTTTTGGTTGTCCAAGAAAGAATATAGATCATCCCTCGGAGTTTAAAGGTGATTCACATAACACGTTTTGTGTTTTATGCAAGAATTAACTATCAATTTAGGACAAGTGAACTGAAAAATGTAGAGAAACTGGTTGAGCAAACAGTCCAAGCCTTACTGTGCTTTTTAAAAACATGCAAACTCTGAAGTTCAAAAGCTGCCTTCACAATTGTGTTTTTCGATAATTACGGATCGAAATCCACCAATCACAAACAATGACATTTCGAACCCTTTGATGTAAACTTGTTTCCTAAGAAGTCCACAAAGATGGTTGACGGCAGTGAAAAACGCAAACATCAGTTGGCTTTTGAACTTCAGAATTTGCGTGTTTTTGAAAAGCGCAGTAAAGTCCTGTTAGCTTGGACTTGGAATGTGCATTTATATACAAATCTGTGACTTACCTTCCAGGTAGGTGGTCCTTGAAAAGCAAATGGGGTCCTTGAAAAGTCCTTAAATATGGTTGCAATTTTTTGCATGAACCGTGGATAAATATTGTGTTCTACATTACAATATGAACTCAGTAACCCAACTCCAAACTTATAGGCTGCATTGCGATCGTAATTCTTATCTTCATCTGGTATAAAATCTAGAATAACAGCCTCAGCAATACAAACATAAACAAACAGCTTTTACCTGCCTTTTTCAATAATAGTGTTATTTGAACTTATCAAACCACTGACCTTGTACCAGCCCAACTTGCTTTGTCAACACCGAATTGTAATTTAATTTTCAAACAGGCCCATTTTTTTTTTCAAATCAGATGGTAGAAATAAGTTTAAGAGACAAGCAAAGCAGAATGACTCTCAAAACAGATAATTTAGAGCTTTATTCTTTCATCATCAGTTTGGCTTGACAGAGACCTCTGTTACTCTTACTATTATCTAGGTATATCTACTGCTATCTGTATCTGGCATAAAAGATAACTTATTCTCCTTTCAATACAACTAAGCCCACATATACTCTCAAATATATGGCAAAGTGGCCTCTAAAATGGTTTGTCTTAAAAGATGACAGAGGTTTGTGACAATCAAAAGGTTCCTCTCACTGGTATCCAAGTAATCCGGGGGCCTATTCCATTGTACAATGCTAATTAAATAACACTTTTTTACTTTCTGATTCCAAAAGGGATACCTCAATGAGCTATGGTACATAATGGTTATACCGAAAAAAATATTGCTCTTTTGCTCTGGCGAAAAACATAAAAGGAAAAAAAAATTCCAAAACTCAAAGCATTGATTAAACAACAATTGAACATTTTGTTCAAATTGCTTGAATTTTATCAGTGATGCAAAATGAATGAGATAGAGTTACATAACTTAGTTGTTCAGTATTCTCAAGAGAGGATTGTAAATGGAAGAAGGTCCCTATTAATGACGGTTTCCTTTGCTAAATGACCTCCTTTACTCGGCCTCTGAATTGGCAATCTTCAACATTGGGTGGATAATTATTTAATAACCTGATGCCCAGCAGTGTTTGAACAGAGCAGAAGTTTCTCTGGATTATGTTCTTTGATCCCGCCATTTACAATCCACGGTGGGTGTCCATAAGTGGGCGTTAGACTGTAGCAATGTCAATATGAATTATGCTGATCAGACCATCAGGTTAGGAAATCCACATTGTCCAGGAAATATAATCAAATTTAACCTTCCTGAAACAGGAGATTCATTTAAATTGTGCAGCAGTATCATTCATCTGTACAGTCCTCAATACTTTAGGCTCATTACTCAATGAAGAATGCTGTTAATGCAAATATTAAAAACACGATTCCACCAATGATAGTGACTGAAAAAGAAAAAAAAAAACAGATAAATTGTTACATCTTAAAATAAAACATTCTAAATTATGGAGCAACAACAAAGACCATGGCATACTATGACGTTAATTTTTGAAGACTTAGGTTAAGATTCACCTAAGGTTAAGCCACATAATTTTTAGGCAATGATTTCTTGTCTAAGGGCATGTAACTGGAACATTCCACATATTGCCACACCTTTACTACAAGATCCAGTGTTATTAACCCAAAATAACAGTCTAAGCAGGGCTGTCACTAAGATTTCAAGTTGCTGCGCAAATACAGCAAGTAGGCAGGGCTTCTTTAGGTTGCATTTCTTTTCTATTTTCCTATGAACGTAGCTGGGGGTGAATATATTCATGGAAGCTGGAGGAAAATTGCCAGCCCCCAGCTCTTAATGACAGCTCCACTAAGACTAGTAAATACAATCACAGCCTGAGAAAACAGCAAACGTTTTATGACACCATCACTGGTTTCCCCGCGAAATGACATCTGAGAAATGAGCTCAGAAATTCCATACTTATGACCCAGCTAGTGCTTCTGATTGGTCTTGCTGCATGGGAAATTTGCTTCAGCCTATCAGAGACACCATCCAGATCTGGCTAGTGACGCTTCATCAGTAGGGAAATTCTGGGCTCGTTTCTCAGATGTCATTACGCAGGGAAACCAGTGGTGGCATTCCTCAGCCTAATCCAATCATTGATTAAAATTTTATTCCAGGATTTGGGTTGATCAAACTTTCTGGAAGTGGCCTTAGACTATTTAACCTTTAAACCCTAAGATAAAACTTGGAATTCTCATTTGTTGCCCCTATTCATTTCCTACAGAAGTAGTGGGGAGAAGTTGATTAAATATCAAGCAAATTCATCTTGTATGATCATGTCCTTAATTCTTATGACCACTCTGTTATACAAAGCATTGATATCACATGGAGAAATTTGATCCTGATCACTCTTAGGGCCTAAAGGGCTAATACAGCTACTGTATCTACCCTAAGGGAGACACTCTGCATATAACTTAAGCCAATTTACAACAGCACTACAGAAACAATAATAGTAACTGAAGCCATTTTTATGCCTCTGTAAATGAACGATGTCACATTTTTACCCGATTGTCAAGTCTAATGACAAACATGGGTGCGGTGAAATAATACTTATTTAAATTTCTGTTGATCAATGTTTGGGTAACCACTTCCTTCGAAATTCACGCCAAAGAATCAAATCAGAAGTGGAACAAACACTTCAGACAAGGTAACTATTTGAGTGAACTCTCCTTTATTTTTTGTGTCCTACTTTCTATCAAAGATGAAAAGATTCCAAAAGCAAAACAAACTTTCCTGCTTCATTACCTGACTCACTACCTCTCTTTTGTAATAATAATTTTGTTTTCCTGTTTAACAACCTCATTAATTACTTTCATCTCTGCTTTGGTTACTGCTTCTTTTTTGTTTTGTTTTGTCTTTCAGAATTTTCTTAAATATTTGTAATGTGTTTAAAAACCAAATAAATAAAAAAAATAAAAATCTTGAACAAAAAGTCAAAAGGTAACTTACCTGTTCTGACAGATATTTTTTGGGCAATTAATCTTCCTCCAACAACAGCAAGACCAGTACATAAGCCATGCCCTAATGTTCCTCCAATTATCACTGCCACAACATTCTGTCCACAAAACAAGACATTTTGACTTTAAGTAATGATCCCGGTAAGGTGGATAGCAATTTCTTTTGTTATGCTTCAACAGTGCTTTCCCACATAGGAATGTTCTCATTTTTACACAGAGAATGCATAAACATGCATAAATGAAGGCCGTTTACGCAATAAAATGCATTTACACTCCACTTTGAAAGGGTGTTTTTTTGTGTTAAAAGATTTTGACCAATCACAAGAGTTGAAAACAATAGCCAAGAAAAGTTTACAATTTTACATGTTCCCCACATAGGATTTCTTTGTTATTCAAACTGAGACCAGATTTTGTTATATGGAAGATGGTTGGAAAGTAAGGATGAATATATGTACCGCTTTATGAAGTTTTGTTAACTTTTGCTGTTTAAGCCAATCAGAAGTAAGTACAAACAATAGAAAAGTTAGCACCTTTTTTGAATTCCAACATGTTCATTTCCGTTGTTGCTATCGTTCTTATCTGGACCGTTTCTTAATAACTATTGCAAACCCTTCTGACCAGGTAAAGGGCTACACGTGCTAAAAGACTTAACCCTTATCAGTAAAATGAGTGCTTAACCCAAAACAGCAAAGTGAATGCTTAACCCCAAACCCTAACCCTAAATATCTGTAAACTATGACTTCTTCTTAAAAAGGTACAATGAGACCCATTTAATAAATTTTGTACTGGATCAATAATTTTGTACCAGTTTAAAAATAATTGTACCAGTACAAAGACAATTTCTACCATGAGCAAAATTGAAGTACATAGATACAATACTTTCTTTGCATGTTGAAAAGACAGAAAGAAAAGAAAGATCTCAAGAATGTCTCTTCTCCTGGAAGGTCAGATATTAACTCCCTGGAAACCCTACCTCTCTTGATGCAAGCAGGATAGTTGCAATCTGTGATCTATCTCCCCACTCTGCCAGGAAAGTCAGTGTAAATGCTTGAAGTAGTATGGGTGAAAGTAGACCAAAAAACTTTGCATGCTTTTTTCCACCTCGGATAACACCAGTCTCAATATCTTGAGTGACAGTTGAAGATTGCTCTTTTTCCAACTTAAAAAAAAGAAAGACAGCTTTATATAACATAATATATCCAAGACGCAAACCTTGACCAGCAAATCCCAAGTTTAAAGTCTTAACTGCACAGCCACCACACCTCCACTTCATTTCAAATAATAACAATGAATTTATTTATTCATGCCTGAGTGGTTTACAGACTGATCATCATTAATTCCTACCAACTGCCAAAAAAGAAAAAGGTTACAGTTTGATTAGCTTTAAAAGCAATAGTTACATGACATTTTTAAATGAACAATAGCAAAACATGATACTGAGTTTTTCATATTATGTGTTGTGACTTTCACCCTTTAAGTCCCAATAGTGACCAACATCAATTTTCTCCTAACAATATCCATACATTGTCAAGTGCAACATCTATGAGAATTAATCAAATGATCACAAAGAGAAAAATCTCTGATCTTTTATCAATTTCTCCTAACTAATTCTGTAAGGAAATGTATAGAGATCAGTTTGGGGAATTTGTTTGTGGATATTGGGGCTTAAAGGGTTAAGGGTGGCTTCATAGGGATGAGAAGTGATGATGTCACGAAAACTAAATTTGTGAAATCATCTGATTTGTTGCACAATCATGCAACTGGGAAAAGTAATGACCTGCACTCTCACCAAAGCCTAAACGTAACATGGGCAAAAGAACTTTTCAGTATGCAGGGGCTATTTATTTCAAATTTTTACCCAATTATGTTAAAAGTGCCACGTCTGTAAATAGTTTTAAAAAGGTGCTGACCGAGTATTTTACCTTATAATTTAATTTCTTGTCTCTTAGCACACTTTTTATATTGACCTAGCTAGATTTTTTACAATATTATTGTTTATTTTTATCATGTATATACCTTAGGAATTTTTAAATAGACAAGTATACTTTTTATTTCTCAGGGCCCCTATGGATACCAGCCTTGTTGCTGAACAGGCTAGCCTGATTAAATAAGGTTACAGTCGACTCCCAGTAACTCGAACCCTCTATAACTCGAACCTCCCACTAATTATCATTTCCCTTCAGATCATTTTCTATATAATCTTACCAATGGTAACTCAAACTCTCAATAATTCGAACTTTTTTCTATTTCCCTTGAAGGTTCAAATTATCAGGAGTCGACTGTACTCACTTACTTACTTACTTACATATCCAGAAAGAACAAGATGAAATGTTCACTTGGCAAAAATCAGCCTGTCACTGCAAATTGGTGATGAGATATAAGCAATGTTATGCTCTGATGACTCCACATAAATCCTTCTAAAATAGGCCGGGGAATGTTAACATTATGATCCAAGCTAATTCTTGAAGGATTTGTATGGAGTCATCAGAGCAAACCGGTGCTTATATCTATCTAAACAACAAATTTGCACTAAAAAGGGTGATTTTTGGCAAGGGGGCTCTTTCTTCTTGTTCTCTCTGAATATGCCAACCAATCCCATAATTTCACAAATTTGAATTTTTGTAATTTAAGAAAACAGAAACCCTATGTGATTGATACTACCCGCAAGTAGCACAGGCTAAATGCACCAGGCAGTGAAAACTATTTAAGTTACCATACCAGTTTTATGCAGGTGACAATACTAACCTCAGCCTCTTTCTTTTTAAGTTCCGCTTGAACTTCTTCTAATTCCTCCTGACCCTCATTGGGATCCATTTCATATCCTTCCTTTAGCATTTTAAGACCGAAAAAGACAAACAGAGCCGTCGATACATACAGTGTGTATTTTCGTGGAATTACAGTTGTTGCAAAACCCAGAACTGCTGAAAGGACGGTCATGAGACCTAGTGCTCCCATGGCTCCAGTGAAAACTACCAACCTTGAATGTCTCATTGACATTATTGCCGCAATAAAGAATGTTTTGTCGCCTAGCTCTGACACAATGATGACAGATAACGCAGCTACAAAACCATGTAAAAAGTCAAAGCTAAAGATACTTGATGACCGGCGAGATGATTTTGTTGTTTCTTTTGATATAGAACCTTGGAAGACAGCATCCTGAAAACGATAATGCAACCAGGTTAATTAAGACATTGTGGTTGTTTAAAAATGCTAAATAAACATGCCAGCTGACAGCTGATGGTGACTAGGAAGGGAAGAGGACATAACATGATCCCTGGAAATGGTATCAACATATCTGGGGCTTGCAAGCACATTATATATGAAATGTACTTTGTTCTTAATAATCCACAAATCCCAACTGAGCCGGTTTAAAATAAAGCAGTCATTCTACTAAACTTAATATTCAGTGACTTTGGGACTGCGGACCACAGTAGCAGTACATTTATACACTTACTTAATGTCAAATTCACTGACTATCGTACTGTAGACCATGGCAGCAATACATTTACACTAAATCAATTTCAAATTCACTGCCTATTTACACAACAATTTCCTTTTTACTGGCTGCAGACTGTGGATCGCGATAGCAGTACATTTAACACGTACATTTGTGGACAGGTATTCTGAAGTTGCTCAGATCCACTATTGGATCACTGAAGTCAGTTACTCAAAGAATGGGCTATTGCAATTTTATTTTTATAGCCATAACTCCNAAAAAGGGTGATTTTTGGCAAGGGGGCTCTTTCTTCTTGTTCTCTCTGAATATGCCAACCAATCCCATAATTTCACAAATTTGAATTTTTGTAATTTAAGAAAACAGAAACCCTATGTGATTGATACTACCCGCAAGTAGCACAGGCTAAATGCACCAGGCAGTGAAAACTATTTAAGTTACCATACCAGTTTTATGCAGGTGACAATACTAACCTCAGCCTCTTTCTTTTTAAGTTCCGCTTGAACTTCTTCTAATTCCTCCTGACCCTCATTGGGATCCATTTCATATCCTTCCTTTAGCATTTTAAGACCGAAAAAGACAAACAGAGCCGTCGATACATACAGTGTGTATTTTCGTGGAATTACAGTTGTTGCAAAACCCAGAACTGCTGAAAGGACGGTCATGAGACCTAGTGCTCCCATGGCTCCAGTGAAAACTACCAACCTTGAATGTCTCATTGACATTATTGCCGCAATAAAGAATGTTTTGTCGCCTAGCTCTGACACAATGATGACAGATAACGCAGCTACAAAACCATGTAAAAAGTCAAAGCTAAAGATACTTGATGACCGGCGAGATGATTTTGTTGTTTCTTTTGATATAGAACCTTGGAAGACAGCATCCTGAAAACGATAATGCAACCAGGTTAATTAAGACATTGTGGTTGTTTAAAAATGCTAAATAAACATGCCAGCTGACAGCTGATGGTGACTAGGAAGGGAAGAGGACATAACATGATCCCTGGAAATGGTATCAACATATCTGGGGCTTGCAAGCACATTATATATGAAATGTACTTTGTTCTTAATAATCCACAAATCCCAACTGAGCCGGTTTAAAATAAAGCAGTCATTCTACTAAACTTAATATTCAGTGACTTTGGGACTGCGGACCACAGTAGCAGTACATTTATACACTTACTTAATGTCAAATTCACTGACTATCGTACTGTAGACCATGGCAGCAATACATTTACACTAAATCAATTTCAAATTCACTGCCTATTTACACAACAATTTCCTTTTTACTGGCTGCAGACTGTGGATCGCGATAGCAGTACATTTAACACGTACATTTGTGGACAGGTATTCTGAAGTTGCTCAGATCCACTATTGGATCACTGAAGTCAGTTACTCAAAGAATGGGCTATTGCAATTTTATTTTTATAGCCATAACTCCCCAGTTGAAGACTTACCTTTTCTTCTTACCCCTGAAGATTAAATAAAATTGATTTCACCCCTAAAGACTTCCATAAAATATGGGTCTAACCCTGAAGAACATGGGTCTACCCCTGAAGAACATGGGTTCAGCCCCTGAAGAATTTCGTTAAAATTAATGCTTCACCCTAAAAAAATCCCATATTTTTTTTTTACTCTATCCATTAAGAAATCCTCAATTTTTACAACTACCCCAAAAAGTTCCATTGGTACACAATTTGGGGGTACAGATATTAAATGCAATAGCCCAGTTCCTGTCCAGAGTGGATTCAATAGATCAGGCCTCAGTTGCTCAAAAGCTGGATTGCACTAACCACCGGATAAATCATTATCCAGCAGAAAGCGTAATTGATTTTCGCAATAACTTTCTGCTGGATAGTGATTTATCTGGTGGATAGCGCTATTCAGCGTTTGAACAACTGGGCCCAGACTGTGATTTAGAAATATATTATTTTATTTCCAAGGAAAGCAACAGACCAAACCAAAGGAATGCACCCATTGTTTGAACCCACTGCAAAAAAAAAACATGAAAAAAATATCATGCTAGTTGACTGGCCGGAAAACAGTGCCATCAGAGATAGCAATGTTTGTTTAACGTTCAAAACGATTTCGTTTAATTGGAGCTGGTTAATAGTGATTATATTATTTCATTTTCTGCAATTAGGGAAAGTTCATTTAATATGACAAGGGGGGGGGATGAAGATATTGAAACTCGAAGCTTGAAATTTTAGCAGCCCCCCTAGCTAGCGGTTCAATTTTTTAGGAGCCCCCTCCTTGGTAGTCGAAAAAATTTCAGAGCCCCCCCCCCCACCCCCCTCCATTCCCTTCACCCCCCGCACAACTAATCCCTAACCTGTTTCATATTATTTTATCTTATTTGTTTCCATTGTTTTTTCTATTAACAAATTGTAAATATATTGTGGTAAAATTTTTTTCAAAAATTTTTGTGACGACCTGATGTTCACATATTATTGATATAACGATTTTTTTATCTTTATTTTTCCAGGGCTACAAACACAAAAGGTGGAAAGTGAGGACTGAGCTTCTGTACAAAAATAAAGTTCTGAATTTAAAAAAATAACCAAGTTGCTGTTTTTGTTGATGTTTTGAAAACCGTTTCATACTGCACAGTCTTGAAAAGTCCTTGAATTTTCTTCAACTTTGAAAGTAGTGGCAGGGAAAGTGTTTTTTTAATGCTTTTTGGTTGTCCAAGAAAGAATATAGATCATCCCTTGGAGTTTAAAGGTGATTCACATAACACGTTTTGTGTTTTATGCAAGAATTAACTATCAAAATTTAGGACAAGTGAACTGAAAAATGTAGAGAAACTGGTTGAGCAAACAGTCCAAGCCTTACTGTGCTTTTTAAAAACATGCAAACTCTGAAGTTCAAAAGCTGCCTTCACAATTGTGTTTTTCGATAATTACGGATCGAAATCCACCAATCACAAACAATGACATTTCGAACCCTTTGATGTAAACTTGTTTCCTAAGAAGTCCACAAAGATGGTTGACGGCAGTGAAAAACGCAAACATCAGTTGGCTTTTGAACTTCAGAATTTGCGTGTTTTTGAAAAGTGCAGTAAAGTCCTGTTAGCTTGGACTTGGAATGTGCATTTATATACAAATCTGTGACTTACCTTCCAGGTAGGTGGTCCTTGAAAAGCAAATGGGGTCCTTGAAAAGTCCTTAAATATGGTTGCAATTTTTTGCATGAACCGTGGATAAATATTGTGTTCTACATTACAATATGAACTCAGTAACCCAACTCCAAACTTATAGGCTGCATTGCGATCGTAATTCTTATCTTCATCTGGTATAAAATCTAGAATAACAGCCTCAGCAATACAAACATAAACAAACAGCTTTTACCTGCCTTTTTCAATAATAGTGTTATTTGAACTTATCAAACCACTGACCTTGTACCAGCCCAACTTGCTTTGTCAACACCGAATTGTAATTTAATTTTCAAACAGGCCCATTTTTTTTTTCAAATCAGATGGTAGAAATAAGTTTAAGAGACAAGCAAAGCAGAATGACTCTCGAAACAGATAATTTAGAGCTTTATTCCTTCATCATCAGTTTGGCTTGACAGAGACCTCTGTTACTCTTACTATTATCTAGGTATATCTACAGCTATCTGCATCTGGCATAAAAGATAACTTATTCTCCTTTCAATACAACTAAGCCCACATATACTCTCAAATATATGGCGAAGTGGCCTCTAAAATGGTTTGTCTTAAAAGATGACAGAGGTTTGTGACAATCAAAAGGTTTTTCTCACTGGTATCCAAGTAATCCGGGGGCCTATTCCATTGTACAATGCTAATTAAATAACACTTTTTTACTTTCTGATTCCAAAAGGGATACCTCAATGAGCTATGGTGCATAATGGTTATACCGAAAAAAATATTGTTCTTTTGCTCTGGCGAAGAACATAAAAGGAAAAAAAAATTCCAAAACTCAAAGCATTGATTAAACAACAATTGAACATTTTGTTCATATTGCTTGAAATTCATCAGTGATGCAAAATGAATGAGATATAGAGTTACATAACTTAGTTGTTCAGTATTCCCAAGAGAGGATTGTAAATGGAGGAAGGTCCCTATTGACGAGGGTTTCCTTCACTAAATGACCTCCTTTACTCAGCCTTTGAATTGGCAGTCTTCAACATTGGGTGGATAATTTAATAACCTTTTGCCCAGCAGTGTTTGAACACAGCAGAAGTTTCCCTGGATTATGTTCTTTGATGCGGCCATTTACAATCCACAGTGGGTGTCCATGAGTAGGCATTTGACTGCAGCAATGTCATTATGAATGATGCGGAGTTGACCATCAGGTTAGGAAATCCACATTGTCCAGGAAATATAATCAAATTGAACCCTCCTGAAACAAGAGGCTCATTTAAATTGTGTAGCAGTATCATTCATCTGTACAATCCTCAATACTTCTGGCTCATTACTCAATGAAGAATGCTGTTAATGCAAATATTAAAAACACAATTCCACCAATGATAGTGACTGAAAAAGAAAAAAAACATACAAATAAATTGTTACATCTTAAAATGAAACATTCTAAATTATGGAGCAACAAGAAAGACCATGGCATACTATGACGTAACTTTTTGAACAAGCCCCAGTTACTTTTACCTAAGGTTAAGCCACATAATGTTTAGGCAATGATTTCTTGTCTTAGGTCATGTAACTGGAACATTCCACATATTGCCACACCTTTACTACATGATCCAGTGTTATTAACTCAAAATAACAGTCTAAGCAGGGCTGTCACTAAGATTTCAAGTTGCCAGGCAAATACAACAAGTAGGCAGGGGGGGGGGGAATCAAACAGCTAGGGATTTCTTTTGGTTGCATTTTGTTTCCATTTTCCTATGAACGTAGCTTGAGGTGAATATATTCATGGAAGCCGGAGGAAAATTGCCAGCCCCCGGCCCTTAATGACAGCTCCGCTAAGGCTAGTAAATACAATCACAGCCTGAGAAAACAGCCAACATTTTACGACACTACCTGTGGTTTTCCTGCGAAATGACATCTGAGAAATGAGTGCAGAAACTTCATACTGATGACCCGGGTAGTGCTTCTGATTGGTCTTGCTGCGTGGGAAATTTGCTTCAGCCTATCAGAAGCACTACCCCGATCTGGCTCGTGATGTGTCATCAGTAGGGGAATTTTGGGCTTGTTTCTCAGACATCATTATGCGGGGAAACCAGTGGTGGCATTCTTCAGCCTAATACAATCATTGATTAAAATTTGAATCCAGGATTTGGGTTGATCAAACTTTCCAGAAGTGGCCTTAGACTATTTAACCCTTTAAACCCTAAGATAAAAATTGGAATTCTCATTTGTTGCCCGTATTTATTTCCTACAGAAGTAGTGGGGAGAAGTTGATAAAATATCAAGCAAATTCATCTTGTGTGATCATGTCCTTAATTCTCACGACTACTCTGTTATACAAAGCATTGATATTACAAGGAGAAATTTGATGCTGATCACTCTTAGGGCTAGTGTATCTGCCCTAACTGCATATAACTTAAGCCAATTTACAAGAGCACTACAGAAACAATAATAATGACTGAAGCCATAACAACAGTATTACAGACTGTATTTTATGGCTGTGTTAATGAACCATATCATACTTTTACCTGATTGGCCTAGACTTAAATTTTGTTTTGCTTTTGGTGCCGCAGAATCAAAAGCAAGCCTTATAACAAACATGGGCTTAGTGCAATAATAATAATTTATTCAAATTTATGTTAATCAATATTTGAGGAACCACTTCTTTTGAGCTTCACAGCAAAGAATCAAATCAGAAGTGGCACAAAATACCTCAGACTAGGCAACTAATTGAATGAACTCTCCTTCATTTTTTTTGTTTCCTGCTTTCTATCAAAGATGAAAAAAGGCAAAAAAATGTTTTTGGCTTTATTACCTGACTCACTAGCTCTCTTGTGAAATAAATATTTTTGTTCTCCTGTTTAGCTACCTAATTAATATTATTATTACTTTCATCTCTGCTTTGGTTAATGATTTTTTTTGTTTTGTTTTGTCTTTAAGAATTTTCTTAAATATTTGCAATGTGTTTAAAAACCAAATAAATAAAAAGATAAAAATCTTGAGCAAAAGATCAAAAGATAACTTACCTGTTCTGACAGATATTTTTTGGGCAATTAATCTTCCTCCAACAACAGCAAGACCAGTACATAAGCCATGCCCTAATGTTCCTCCAATTATCACTGCCACAACATTCTGTCAACAAAACAAGACATTTTGACTTTAATAACTACTGTAAACCCTTCTGACCAGGTAAAGGGTTACACGTGAGGAAAGACAGTACCTAACCCTTATCAGTAAAATGAGTGCTTAACCCTAGATATCTGTAAACTAAGACTATTTCTTTAAAAGGTATAATGAGAACCATTTAGTAAATTTTGTACTGGATCAATAATTTTGTACCAGTTTAAAGGTAATTGTACCAGTACGAAGACAATTTCTACCATGAGCAAAATTGAAGTACAACAGATACAATACTTTCTTGGCATGTTGAAAAGACAGAAAGTTAAGAAAGATCTCAAGAATGTCCCTTCTCCTGGAAGGTCAGATATTAACTCTCTGAAAAACCTACCTCTCTTGATGCAAGCAGGATAGTTGCAATCTGTGATCTATCTCCCCACTCTGCCAGGAAAGTCAGTGTAAATGCTTGAAGTAGTATGGGTGAAAGTAGACCAAAAAACTTTGCATGCTTTTTTCCACCTCGGATAACACCAGTCTCAACATCTTGAGTAACGGTTGAAGATTGCTCTTTTTCCAACTTAAAAAAAAGGAAGACAGCTTTATATAACATAATATATCCAAGACGCAAACCTTGACCAGCAAATCCCAAGTTTAAAGTCTTAACTGCACAGCCACCACACCTCCACTTCATTTCAAATAATAACAATGAATTTATTTATTCATGCCTGAGTGGTTTACAGACTGATCATCATTAATTCCTACCAACTGCCAAAAAAGAAAATGGTTACAGTTTGATTAGCTTTAAAAGCAATAGTTACATGACATTTTTAAACGAACAATAGCAAAACATGATACTGAGTTTTTCATATTATGTGTTGTGACTTTCACCCTTTAAGTCCCAATAGTGACCAACATCAATATTCTCCTAACAATATCCATAGATTGTCAAGTGCAACATCTATGAGAATTAATCAAATGATCACAAAGAGAAAAATCTCTGATCTTTTATCAATTTCTCCCAACTAATTCTGTAAGGAAATGTTCAGAGATCAGTTTGGAGAATTTGTTTGTGGATATTGGGGCTTAAGGGGTTAAGGGTGGCTTCATAGGGATGAGAAGTGATGATGTCACGAAAACTAAATTTGTGAAATCATCTGATTTGTTGCACAATCATGCAACTGGAAAAAGTAATGACCTGCACTCACCAAAGCCTAAACGTAACATGGGCAAAAGAACTTTTAAGTATGCAGAGGCTATTTATTTCAATTTTTTACCCAATTATGTTAAAAGTGCCACGTCTGTAAATAGTTTTAAAAAGATGCTGACAGAGTATTTTACCTTATAATTTTAATTTCTTATCTCTCAGCACACACTTTTTATATTGACCTAGCTAGATTTTTTACAGTATTATTGTTTATTTTAATCATGTATACACCTTAGGAATTTTTAAATAGTATACTTTTTTATTTCTCAGAGCCCCTATGGATACCAGCCTCATTGCTGAATAGGCTACCCTGATTAAATAAGGTTACAATCGACTCCCAGTAACTCGAAACCTCTATAACTTGAACCTCCCACTAACTTGAAGCAATTTTCATTTCCCTTCAGATCATTTTCTAAATAATCTTACCCTCGGTAACTCGAACTCCCGATAACTCGAACTTTTTGTCTATTTCCTTTGAAGGTTCGAATTATCAGGAGTCGACTGTACTCACTTACTTACTTACTTACATATCCAGAAAGAACAAGATGAAAAATGTTCACTTGGCAAAAATCAGCCTGTCACTGCAAATTGGTGATGAGATATATGCAATGTTATGCTCTGATGACTGCACATAAATCCTTCTAAAATAGGCCGGGAATGTTAACATTATGATCCAAGCCAATTTTTCAAGGATTTGTATGGAGTCATCAGAGCAAACCAGTGCTTATATCTATCTAAACAACAATTTGCACTAAAAAGGGCGATTTTTGGTAAGAGGGCTTTTTCTTCTTGTTCTCTCTGAATATGCCAACCAATCCTATAATTTCACAAATTTGAATTTTTGTAATTTAAGAAAACAGAAACCCTATGTGATTGATACTACCCGCAAGTAGCACAGGCTAAAATGCACCATCCAGTGAAAACTATTTAAGTTACCATACCAGTTTCATGCAGGTGACAATACTAACCTCAGCCTCTTTCTTTTTAAGTTCCGCTTGAACTTCTTCTAATTCCTCCTGCCCCTCATTGGGGTCCATTTCATATCCTTCCTTTAACATTTTAAGACCAAAGAAGACAAAAAGAGCCGTTGATACATACAGTGTGTATTTTCGTGGAATTACAGTTGTTGCAAAACCCAGAACTGCTGAAAGGACGGTCATGAGACCCAGTGCTCCCATGGCTCCAGTGAAAACTACCAACCTTGAATGTCTCATTGACATTATTGCCGCAATAAAGAATGTCTTATCGCCTAGCTCTGATACAATGATGACAGATAACGCAGCTACAAAACCATGTAAAAAGTCAAAGCTAAAGATACGTGATGACCGGCGAGATGATTGAGTTGTTTCTTTTGATATAGAACCTTGGAAGACAGCATCCTGAAAACGATAATGCAACCAGGTTAATAAAGACATTGTGGTTGTTTAAAATGCTAAATAAATACGCCAGCTGACAGCTGATGGTGACTGGGAAGGGAAGAGGACACAACATGAGCCCTGGAAATGATATCAACATATCTGGGGCTTGAACATTGGCTGGTTTCAGGATAGTATGTTTTGCACAGGATTCCAAATGTAATCCTGTTTTAGAGAGTTTTCATTTAAAATGATATCTCATTCACAAAATACGACAATAATTTATTTTCGACATGATGACATAATAAATGTTTTCAAAGTGAGGGAAATGCACTAGTCAGTGCAAAAAACCCTTGTGCACAATTTTTAAAATTGAATCTGTTGTCCAAAGGAGAAGGCTGTATCTCCAATCTGTTGATCCACTGGCTAAATTTCAGAATACCCGGCCACTGAAATATTCCGAACAACCCCTGCTACAGGTCTGCAGTCCGCAGTGCTATAAATGTGATAGGCCTCATTCTTAAAACCACATCACCCAAAACAAACACATTATAAATGAAATGTACTTTGTTCTTAATAATCCTCAAATCCCAACTGAGCCAGTTTAAAATAAAGCAGTCATTCTACTAAACTTAATATTCGGTGACTTCGGGACTGTGGACTGCAGTAGCAGTACATTTTATACACTTACTTAATGTCAAATTCACTGACTGTCGTACTGTAGACTGTGGCAGCAATACTTTTACACTAAATCAAATTTCAAATTCACTACCTATTTACACAACAATTTCCTTTTTACTGGCTGCAGACTGTGGATCCCGATAGCAGTACATTTAACACGTACATTTGTGGACAGGTATTCTGAAGTTGCTCAGATCCACTATTGGATCACTGAAGTCAGTTACTCAAAGAATGGGCTATTGCAATTTTATTTTTATAGCCATAACTCCCCAGTTGAAGACTTACCTTTTCTTCTTACCCCTGAAGATTAAATAAAATTGATTTCACCCCTAAAGACTTCTATAAAATATGGGTCTAACCCTGAAGAATATGGGTCTACCCCTGAAGAACACGGGTTCTGCCCCTGAAGAATTTTGTTAAAATTAATGCTTCACCCTAAAAAAATCCCATATTTTTTCACTCTATCCATTAAGAAATCCTCAATTTTTACAACTACCGCAAAGAGTTCCATTGGTACACAATTTGGGGGTACAGATATTAAATGCAATAGCCCAGTTCCTGTCCAGAGTGGATTCAATAGATCAGGCCTCAGTTGCTCAAAAGCTGGATTGCACTAACCACCGGATAAATCATTATCCAGCAGAAAGCGTAATTGATTTTCGCAATAACTTTCTGCTGGATAGTGATTTATCTGGTGGATAGTGCTATTCAGCGTTTGAACAACTGGGCCCAGACTGTGATTTAGAAATATATTATTTTATTTCCAAGGAAAGCAACAGACCAAACCAAAGGAATGCACCCATTGTTTGAACCCACTGCAAAAAAAAAACATGAAAAAAATATCATGCTAGTTGACTGGCCGGAAAACAGTGCCATCAGAGATAGCAATGTTTGTTTAACGTTCAAAACGATTTCGTTTAATTGGAGCTGGTTAATAGTGATTATATTATTTCATTTTCTGCAATTAGGGAAAGTTCATTTAATATGACAAGGGGGGGGGATGAAGATATTGAAACTCGAAGCTTGAAATTTTAGCAGCCCCCCTAGCTAGCGGTTCAATTTTTTAGGAGCCCCCTCCTTGGTAGTCGAAAAAATTTCAGAGCCCCCCCCCCCACCCCTCCTCCTTCAATTCCTTTGCTCCCCTGAAAAAAGATCGCTAGACTGTATTAAATATATTTACCGTTATTGTCTTCAATGGTTTATGCTATGACAAACTTGAGATACTGTTGTGATACAATTTTCTAAAGCATTTTTGGGATGAACAAGAGTGTAATAATTACTGAGACTACATTTGTTATATCTGTAAACCACGTGATATAGCTGAGTTGCACAGGTCATTAAATTGTTGAGTTGAAAACCATCCGATCTGTATGATGATGTCATGTGTTGGTTTTGAAGTATACAAATTTTCGGAGCCCCCCTCCTTGCGCAACAATTTTTTCAGAGCCCCCCCTTCGGGTGTCTAAAAATTTTCGGAGCCCCCCCTCAATATCTTCATCCCCCCCCCCTTGTCATATTAAATGAACTTTCCCTTAATGCGGTCTTTGGTAGAATTGAGAAGGAAGCTATTCAAATGAAACTCCCCTTGTTTACTCATAAGCTACTTACTCGCATTTACTAACAAGAGCTCTTCTTTTGTGAGCTCAATTTGAGCCGTTAACTACAAATCGTCCATAATGACGTGTTAGGGAAAACATTTTTAATTTTCCATGTGACATTAACTTAGGCTTAATTGGTATGTTTTAAGCAACATCGGCATCGTCTGTAAGCTTATAAATCGACCATCACATAAAAAAAATCCAAGATTCTTACCACGTCGTCCTCCACCGGCTGCAAAAAGGACACGGAATCGGAAATTTTTGTAAGGCCATTGTCATCTTTAGCTGGGATGTTTTCTGAAGCCCGAAGAACGTGCCCGGCAAGACCTTCAAGTTCGTCGGGAACTGCCGCACAAGCCACTGTGACGCGACACATAAAAACAACGGCTATGATTTGACATAAACTAACACGTCCTTGACGATAATTCCCCATCTTAAATCAGTAAAAAGGGAACAGCTACCCCTACATTTGCCGTCTCGATCGCGACCTGTTCGTTTAAAAATCACTAATTTCTCTCTGATCTCTAATTTCGGCAGATTCAACCAGCGGTCAACTCGAATAATTTATGAGCGAGTTCTAGAGCGGAACGCATGAATTGGGGAGGGGAGGGAGGGGGGCAGACTAACAGTGAAAAGCATTTTTGTATTTTGATAGTTTATGCTGAGAGCTTAAAGAGTTTTTATTATAAAATAATAAATATAGCTCCTGCGATAGCTACACTTTCCGTTTGTGATGATAACCACAGGTAGCCCAGGCAAAATTTGCCGAAACAAATGTTTTCTGTAACCTAAGTATATGACCAGATTAAACTTAAAAAAGGTTGTTTTGTTTCTGATAAGGTTTCCAAACCGATTTATATGGGTTTTATTGCAACCCATGCGTAATTTTTCATATAAGGGTAAGCCGCTTTTTTATTTCTCGTCATAAACAATCGTACTTACAGTTTCTATCATTTTTCCCTATAGAAATCCTTTCTTAGGTTACGCAACAGTATACCTCCAGGTTGGGCTACCTGTGGGTGTTAACTAGGGGAGAATAAAATCGTCCTTAAATAACTATGACCGAGACGAGCTTTTATGACCCCGCCTGGTTCAGCTGCTGGTTGAGGTCATTGTTGTCTTCCGAATAGTTTTTATCGGCAATACGGTAGTATCTTAATCAGTAATAACCAGTTGCCGTAAGACAAAATAGATAGTAGTTAGCCAAGATAAGACATGACTATCTAGATCATTTGCTTTAAATCTCCAGTCCTTTCTGTTCCAGGATCTTAGTTCTTTACGGGAAAGTGAAGCAGCTTCCCAGTCTCCCAAGTCCCCACCCGTTCCTTTTTTCTTGCTCTTCAAAGAGTCTACCCTGGGTACCAGAGGTTTCAAAGTGTGTTGAATTCTTACAAGAAAGTATGAAGTCGGCAGAACCAAGATTCCTATAACCAACCAGGCGAGCTAGTTCGGTGTGTCAGTGACCTGCTAACTGGTGAATAAACCAAAGCAACTCGAGACAAAAGTTTACGCACATCTTCCCCGTCCGCGATATCCATTGGCTTTTGCTGGTCACGATTAACAGCTCGCACATCAGCGTTGCACCTTAGCAAGAACTTAACAATCTTGATGTAGCCTTCACTTGCAGCGTAGTGCAATGCTGTACAACCTTGACCATCTTTCTTGTTCACACTGGCTCCGAGCGCAACCAAGGCTTTGACGCTCTTCAAGTTGCCATCCAGAACGCACTGGGTAAGGGCAGTCATTCCCGACGAACTTACAGCATCGATTTCAAAGTCTTCTCTTTTTTGGCGAAACGACTCAATAATCTTTTTTGCCTCCATGAACCCTGTGTCAAAAGTGTCCTTGCTACAAACAACTTGGAAGATTAAGTCAAAAGGCTGAGGATACGATTTTACTCTTTGCATTTTTCCTCTCTTCTTCAGCATTGTTGAAGAAGCATTCATAGTCGACTTAGAACGTAATTTAGAAAGAAGTTCTGGAATTTCTCCACTTTTCTTTGCTATGAAGACTAGTTCGCTTGCAATTGATGATCCGGAGTAGTAAGCGATTTGATAAGTTCTCCGCTTTTAAGAGCAAACGAGGAACTCCGTTTTCAAGCGGCATTCCTCGAGGTATCTGATAAGTAATCAGTCCAACTAAAGCCTGTTATCAAAACAGGAACCCATTACGACTCGCCATACCACTTCCAATTGTCGACGCCACTGATGTCAAAATTATCAAAAGGGCTGAAAGGAGTGCTGTACCTCTTCCTCGTCCTCATCTCCGCGATGTGAATCGTTCAGGCCCTTGTTCATTGGGGTCTTTTCATGACCCCGCCAGGATGTTCTCTTAGTTGCAAGTTTGAAGAATATACTGAGCTTCCAATTTTGCTGGGAGTAAACAAACTGAAGTACTATACATTTACAGTCGGCTCCTGATATTTATTTATACAAAGCAAAACAATCACACTTAGATCCGGATGTCCTGTTCGGCCAAGTTCCAGTGCAAAGGAAAGCGTTTATTTGTTATGTCACTCACCCATATTCAGGTTTAAAAGGATTTCCTAAGCTCGTCAGTTTGTGAAAAATCGTCGCAAACCACTACTCTTGGTCCTGCCGGCCCTGTGTTTCCACGACATCTACACTACTTAAAACTTTGGCTACCCGTTAACATCAAGTATAACTAACTGTTCGTATGTCTAAAGGCTACACTGTTCATGTGGAAACCGTTAAAATCGCGCAATAAAAATACGATACGAGAACCAAATTTTTTCCCCAAAAATTACCTGACTAACCTGGAAACACTGACATTATGACGGGCACGTCATAGGGCAACAGTACACCTTTGATCGCCAGAATTTATTTCGCCGTACACTTATGCCTTCTTTGTGCTGTATAAAAAAAAATCACGAAAAATGATTTGTCTATCGGAAAACCAGTTAACTTTATTTTTCCAGATCCTCGGGATGACGATCCTCTTTGTAGCCTGCGAACCGCAGACGTATTTTCGGTCGTCGCTTCTCTCCCTCTGAAATTTTTTATTTTTCGGAAGGAGAGAAGCGACGACCGGAAATACGTCTGCGGTTCGTAGGCTATCCTCCTTAGGATCAGTCAATCAAGAATCTTCACGCGTATACAAGAGAAGTGTAACTGAAACTCCTGTCTAGAAGAAACCCATCCTCACTATCAGCCGGGAATACGACCGGGAATACGTTTGCGGTTCGCAGGCCATCCTCCTTAGGATCTCTCTGTCAAGAATCTTCACGCGTATACGTGAGAATTCAGTAACTGAAGCTCCTGTAAAACCCATCCTCTATATCAGCCGGAAATACCTCAAGTACAGGAAATTATGCTCAGGACTAGGAACCCGGGCTAGGAAGTCGACTATTAAACGCCCCGTTCTGGAGCAAAATTCCTTGTTGTTTATTTATAGTAAGATTGTCTTTATAGTACAATGATTTGCAATTGTTATTTAGTTTTTGAAGAGAAAAAGGCTGTTTACAGCTCTCCGATCTTTGTACATGGATGGCTATGATCCAGATCGTTGATAGAGCTCCAGCAATTGAGCTTAGCGATTTGTCGTTCAATATTACTGGTTCATCTTTTTTGTTTTCAAAAAAGAGACATTCTTTTATACCAAGAGGAAAGAAAAAGGATAGAAGAACCTCCAGATCGCAGGTTAGCCATGTGGCCAAACTGGCCAAACTAACGCAAAAAAATCAAATCACTTCTCCTTAATGTTCTAGGTATTGAAGATAATTATTTGAATGTTAATTTTTTAATAGAATATTTTATGAAAGTTAACCTGATATGCTGTATATACCTCGAGTTGTAATTTTAGTCTTTTTCAAATAACAATATGATCCCCTGTACTTTAGCCTGTTCCAGGCGTTCAGATAGTGGGGAGCGGTGCGAAGAAAAAAGGAGCGCGAAAAAATAAAAGCGAGGGAGGGGGGGCTCTCCCCAGTCCCCCTCTACTTTTCATCGCTGTCTTTACTTCGCACCGCTCTCCACTATCTGAACGCTTGGAACAGGCTACCTGTACTTGAATTTACATGTAAGGTGTTTTGTTCTGTATGTTATTGTATTTCTTCCCTTTTCTTTTTTCTTATGTATGCCTAGATTAGCATTATAGCTATTTGCAGGACATAAAGTATTGTAAACTTTATATTTCTTTTAATAAATACATTGTTGTTTGTTTGTTTGTTGTCGGTCAGTCAAAAGAATAGTCGAAGGAAAAGCACGGGCTATTTAAAAAAAATTGACTTTAGACCTCTTTCTTGTGACGAAAACGACAAAAGCGGAAATGCCGGAATAAGACGAGCATATCACACCAAAGTAGGGGCCAAGGTGATAATAACTGGATAAATCAGACGGGCTTCACTTCCATTACCAGACTATTACTACTCATAACTTGCCTATACAAAGGCAGTCACACACAAACTGGATCAGTTGAACACTGGTGTAGTTTAAGACTAGTTAAGTATCAGGCCTTGGTTAGATGTTACGGGGCGGGAGATTTTCCTCTTTTCGCTTATCTCTTCTCCATTTCCCTCAGAAACGCCTAATACTCAGGCTGTTAAAGATATTACTGAATGCGGTCAAGAAAAAATTGAATTTCCCTATCCCGACCGCTACTTTGACCCTATGATTCTCTTATCTCAACCCAATATAAACAGGAACTCGTTTTACAAATTCCACAAAAAATATCCAAATCTTACATCCCTCCAAACCCACTGTGGACCCTCCAAAATGACGTTGAATAATATTTTGACGTTTCAATTTATACGGTTTTCTAAATTCTTGCCAAGAAATATTAAAGAAAACCAAACAAACGAAAAACTGATTATTCTAAAACACCTGTATTAATTACCTGATTGCCGACGTTTCTACTACCAATGGCAATGAAAGATGATTGTATTCGTACGCTGTAACTGAAAAGAAAATCTGTAGCCCTGTCCTTGAAGAACATAAATTTCGGTTATTTTATTGTAGAGAGTATTAGAAGTGAAGATATCGCATGCATGCATTTTGGACCTATCGTTTCTCGGTGGTGGTGGTGAAAGAAAGACATTGGGAACGAGTTTATGCTTTCTCGCCAAATATGGTGACGTCATTTCGATACGGTTGACTGACTCCAGCGATAATGACGTCTACCAATGGCGGGAACGATTTAGCAAGCTAAAAACTACATGGTTTTTTACCTCCTGAAATGCCGTGGAATGGTGAAAATTCTAATTTCAAGACGAAGTTTAATACTTAGGCTTTACAATTGCAAGAATTGGAATGGGTTCGAAGGCGAAAAAGGACAGAAGAAGCGGCGAAGATTTCGACGGTAAGACCTCGCCTCCGTTGTCGGTGGAGCGTTTTGTTTTGTAATTTATGCGCGGAGGACCTTTCTTCTTTGCTCGCCTGAAAGCGGCGATATTGATTGAATTGTGCTTGGTTTTGCCTCTGATTATACTTACACAGTCTCGTGTCTTACCTGTGGGAACGTCTGTGGTATTAATGGTCGGTTTGCGATGTTACGAAAGCACAATAGCTCTGTTCACAACGAAAGCTTTCGCGCTCATTAATTTCGTGACTGAAATGCATTATAAGAAACTGATCCTTCGTTTTCGAAGCTTTCTTGTTTTGTGAAAAGGTATACTTATATCGACAGCATTTTCATACATGAACGTGTGATCCTTTCGCCTTTAAATCCGTCCTAGAAATTTTCGATCGGGTCATTAATTTCCACGGTGTATGAACATGGCGAACGGTTTGCATGTTTTGGAGCTTATTTGTTATCGGGTTTCAAACCATGTGATTTTAACCCGAGGCAAATGTATAATTTATGAGTTTTGGTTTTTGCCCGAATTGCTGTCTGTTAGCGCTGCATTTGTGCGAATTAGGCGTAATAGTGATCTCTCCGCTGTATATTATTCAATCCACACCTTTAGATATTGCACGTTGTTTATTATTCCCGGATTTTCATGCGTGGATCAAATGTTAATAAGCTTGATGTGTAAGCTTAAGTTTACTTGCGTAATTTACAGCAGGCGGCCGGTAACGGAAATAGACTTGATCATTAGGCTAGTCTATGTACCCAAGTCTGGTGTACAAAGGTTATCTACGACCCTTGCTAACTGAATATAGCGTAATTATATCCTTGTACACTTTATATGGAAATCAACAAAGGTAGATCTTGCGTGCCCAATATATATTTAGCATAAAATGAGTAGAATTATCTTTACTTTCGAATCTCTGAATTTTTTGCATTTACTGTGTCACACACTGGCCGCACTGTTTATAGCAGCATGCAAGTTATTTTTGCCATTTGTACATTTTCCTAGAAATATTTTTCTAGTTGTACAATTACCTGTAAAGACATGTTATTTTTGAACATTATTCCCTTGAACCTTGCACTTTGTTGAGTTGGTAAATTTGGAACCCGCTAGTGTGTTGTCTAGTTTGTGACATTCAAGGGTCATACTACTTCCTTTTTTAGTGTTCCTTCAGGACACACAGTCAAAAGATCTCAATTTACCATGTCCTTATTTATTTTGTCTTTTGGTTTTTCTGTGGTCTGGAAATTTGTAATGATCAGGTTAATTTTCATGATCTCAGGGATCAGTTGAGTAGGTTAGTGTAGGGTGGGTTGATGATGAGAACAAATTGAGAGGGAGGGGGTACTGTGAAAGAGATGATCAGATTTCAGGATGCCAGAGGTTATTATCTGTGTATGTATGACATAAAAAAACAAACAAGAAGTCAAGCTAGTAAATGAAAAAATTATAACAAGGAAATGGACTCTGAGTAGAAAGAACTCATTTTAGTTTTATTGGTCATATTTTGCAGATGAAGATGAGTTAGATTTGGACAAAAAAGGAGGCAAGAAGACCCAGCAAGGGGAACTTAAAGGGTATTTGTATGTTTAGATTAATTATCCTATTTAACATCTAGGCCAAAACAAGGATAATTGTTGTGCTTTACAATTAAGGTCATGTTCACCCTATACTTGATACCTTTTGCGCCGTCACAAAAACCATACTGGATAGGGCTTCTGTTCTTACACAAAAATGGTTGTGACACAGCACTGCTGTATCGCTACAATCTCTAAAGCAGCGAGTCACTTTCACTTATTGGCAGGGTGCAAAGAAAGTCAGTTTTACAGCCTGTCATTCGGGCAAGCTGTAGCTGGTATGAACTAGCCCACAAGTCATTTCATCTAGCCCCCAAACCCTTTTTGATTAGCAGGATTGATTACAATCCTTCTGTAATTTAAAGTTCCCCAAAAAACAGCCCTTGCCCGTTGGGCAAGTTAAGAACAAAAATCACTAGCCCGATAGCAAAATTCACTAGTCCCAGGCTATCTGACATGACTTTCTTTGCATGTTGTATTGGATTGGTGTTCGTACATGTACTGTACTGAACAGCTTTTTATAGTGCCACAGAAACCATCTGGTATAGAGTGAATGTAGCCTAAATGTGACACATAATTCTGCCATTTCTTGCACTTAAATGTAACTATAATAAGAAAATATTTCAGTTTTTTTTAAATTTTTTTCTCAAAGGTTATTGAATTCTATAGCTGGAATTGCCGATGAACTTAAGGGTAAGTCAAATGTTTTTATTTGGTTTTGAGAAAGGGTGTATTTTGTTGTAGTTGGGCTTTAATAGTTGGAACATCCATGCAGTTTAAGAGAGGTGTAGAATTATTGTTACCACATATACCATACCTTTTGTTTAAGTTTAACTTAATTCTGTAATTCTATAACAGTAACTGTTGTTCTTAATTTGAATTAAAATTCTAAGCCAAATTTAATTAAGTAAGGTCTTCTTCCTTTAACAAAGATTTGTTCATTTTGTAACAAGTAGCTTGCTTTTGGTACTCTTACTGACAGACAAAATATCAGGGAGATTTAGCATAGTGTTTGCGGCAAATGGCAAACGTGAAATTCAAGTTGAGAAATTTTCAAAATGGGAAATGAACAGATAAAAATAGCTTAAAACAATTCTTATAGATAGATTTGGTGTGAACCTACCGATTTTCATGTAGTTATAATGAACAGTAAATGCCAAGTAAAGGAGAAACTTTGTCACGTGGTACAAATTCATATTTGCCATTTGCCGTAAATGCGTTGCTTAATCTCTCTGTTAGTAAGGAAGTTGCACCGTAAAGCTTTCCAATGAAATATATTTTACTTGAAGATTTTGTTGTGTATTAATATTTGAAAATGTTTGTGTAACCTAATTAAGGCTAATTGTGTTTGAGCAATGCAGGGAAGAATAATATGTCAATATCATGTTTTGAAACAGGGTCATCTCGCCCACCTTCCCCTGCCAGTTTTTCTATTGAGGGTCGCAAACCGGCTGAGGTGAGTGAAATCACTGAATAAGAAGTAAAGTTTTGAATGAAATATTATGACATTGAATATTAAAGTCAGAATGGACACCAGTTTATTTGCGTAAATTATTATTAATTTTATTAGAATTTTAATTACCAATAGACATATTCATTATTGTGAGTATTGTGAGAATACAATAAATTATTGTGTGAAAACCTGCTCTGCCTCCTGCAAACAATTGAGAAAAGTAGCTAAATGGATGTCCACAAAATCTCAAATTTTTCTGGTTGTGACACACAGGACCTGTAACAAAATGCATTAGATTTGATCTGCAATAATTTTTTCGTTGCCAGATGCCATTATTGTGTATGTGGTGGTTTAATTCTATTCTTGGTATAAATTTTATATCTTTCGTGTTAAACTGATTATTATACATTACCATACCCCAAAACAAAGGGATATAAAATTTAAACTAAGAATAAAATTGAACCACAACATAAACACTTAACAGATATCAATATTGGTCTTATTTCCCTGATAGTTCAATCTTAGGGTCTTTAACCCATTCGCCCCTGAACCGCCCGTAACTGCCCGTGCGGATCCAGGTCCTTTCTACCCATTGTGACATCATCAGTTTTAACGGTCAAGGACAACTTTCTTCGCTAACTTGTGCAGAGTGAAGAGATCTTTCAAACCGTACCAGAATGAGCACAATTCAGTCAAGGACACCAGAGAAACAAGCAGAAAACCACGTGACATTGACCGGAAAATCTCCATGAAAATCTTGTTCCATTACCCACCTACCTTTCCTTTCACCTAATCCTAAGATCCTAAAATCTTTCCTAAAAACTCTTCCCACCAAAATGAAGCCTACTAAATGCCCAGCAAGAGAAAAAAAAAATGAGGCAAGAAAGCGAAAAGTAAAAGTCAAGACTGCTGTGTCACTTTTAAACCCAAAAACTATGTCGAAATTTTGCTTTCTGCGCATGCCCGAACATCGCAAGCTGATATTTTGCATCTGGATTAGAAGGCCGCGAAGTGTTCGACCTGTAAACCAGTTTGTGGTAAGTTTTAGCTCTTTATAGCACGACAGTGACCAGAAAACCACTCGACTAGCTTCAAAATGCGTTTTTCGGCAAAATCTCCAGGAGCGAATGGGTTAATGTTTTTTTCATTTCCACACAACTGAAAACCAATGCTTTTGAAGTTGTAGGACATATAACCCAAATTTTTCAGTATGTTTAAATTGATATTGTTCAACAGATATTTCGAACAGACTTGATAAGTGCCATGAAGCTTCCAGATCATCAGAATTTGAGTCCTGATAACTACATCACCATAAGTGATCCCTGGAGACAGGAGTGGGAACGAGGAGTGCAGGTGATGAGCTAGTTTATTCTATAACTCCTTGTTCCTTATCTGTGTGAAGAGTATTTTGCTTGTTGTCAAGCTTCTGTTATTAGGCATACTGTACAGGGATGTTAAATCTTGGGAAAGAGGGGAGTATTCAAATGACATTCTGGAAAGGTCAAGTGTGATGTTTACGGTACATACCAGACAGCAAATGGCTGAGATGGTCATGAGATGGTCAATGTTCAGTGCATGCTGTTAATTTTTTTTTACCTCTGTGTCCTGTGTCCCTGACGAAAAAAATCCCCAAGGATGCAAAATAATTTATGGCATGCGTCCCGTAGGGCTCAAAGATCAATCGATCGACCTGAACATGTGTATTTGTAGAAATATCCTGTGTGCATAATTTCTGTGGCCGTTATTATGGCTCTTGTTTAATGATGCATATTTCTTTTAGCCTTTGTTGCGCTTTAAAATAGAAGGACTATATTTTAAATTCAGTATACTGTACATCGTGCTATGAAAGTCGTGTCCGATAGCCCAGGGCTAGTGGATTTTACTCTCGGGCTAGTGAATTCTGTTCTTAACTTGCCAGCCTGGCAATTGAATTTTTTTAAGGAATTATAATCACCAAAGAATTGTTATCAACCCTGCTCATCATCGGGCTAGTTAAAATGACTTTTGGGCTACTACATGCTAGCTACAGCTTTCCCGAATGGCAGGCTGTAAAACTGACTTTCTTTGCACCCTGCTGTAATACAGAGTTTTCAAGTCTGTCTTCAGATTATCTGTCCGGTTACATGAAGGCCCAAGCATTTTCAATTTCGCACTCATTCTTTTTTTAATCTGGGACTCATGAATTTTCTTTGCAAGATGCGTCCCAGGACTCACCATAATAATATTATTTGTAACAAAATCACTGCATGTATCTAATTACAGTAAATGTAAACATAGTGCTGTATCTGTACTATGTTTTTATAATGGGTTGGAGGTGAAGACACCACAATTCCTCCTTTCTGGGTCCTGTCCTTCTACGGTTTGGAATACTTCCCTAATGTCTTTTTGTTTTTAAACCCAGGTGCCTGTAAATCCAGAAGGTGTTTTCCAACCATCATTCAGGTAAGTGTTAAAAATGTATACATTGAGCAGTAAGAGTTCGATATTAATTTATTGTCGAATTCAAAGGGTACATGTTGCACTCTTTGATTTCAACAATTTCAGTTATATTGTGGAAAAGGAAATTGGTTTTCAATTTAAATTATTTCTTTTGATGTTCAATGTTTTCAACTTTATTTTTCAGACCTGTGGAGCCACTTTACAAGAGAGTAGCTACATTTAAGTTGTATGTATTGCCTCTGAGTCAATTTGGAAAAAATAATCCATTGTAACTCTTCAGCTTTGTCACATTATATAGTCATGTTAGTTTGACACACATGCTTTGTGTATTTTTCTTTTCAGGCAAAACAAACTGCTTTCTACACCAAGTAAAACAAGAGGCAGACCTCCAGGCTCTAAATGCCCTTATGATCTTGGCAGAATGGATGTAGAATGGCTGACAGCATTGAATAGATCTCGACAAAACAAGGGCTTAATGGAACTTGAAGAATCCACATTGGAAAAGGCCATAGCTTACATTGAAAACAAGGTATTTTTTGCTGCAGAAATACAGTATTGGCATGCCCAGGGTTTATCTTGGGGAACTGACCCTATTTAGTGTATAGACTTGCATTATTAATTTGTCCATAACTAACTCTTGGAAAGATCAAGCCTTGATTTGTTCTCTTTTTCCTCTCAGTGCTACGACAACATGGGGCACGCAATAGCCACTCAGAAAGGTCTTAGTATAGAATATGATGAGGATGTGTGCTGTGATGTTTGTCAGTCTGTAAGTAATTTATAAATCTTTTTGTTTGCAAAAGTATGTTACATAAAAAGTACATATATTTTATTTTTTGCATGCAGAGTATTTTACTTTCAAACATTACACAATTTATTTGTAGTCTGCAAAGCACAGGCAGATCATTGCATTTCTTTTAGTAGCTGATTTGTATAGTTTTTATTGATCAAATGTTATTGACAATTATCTGTGTTTTCAATAGATGTATGTCAGCCTTTCTATGCCCTAACCATAGATATTTGGCTGTAATCCATGCAATGTTTCCACAAATTCAGAACATTTGATCCAAGGAGAATTGTTTGGATTATAGCCAAGCAAAAACATCAAGAGAATGCCAACTGCTATTTGTTATCTCAGCTGCTGAATTTTATTATCACAGGTTGAGACTTGACTTTAAGTCAATGGATGTAATGGATTAGGATTTATGAAGAGAAAGAGCATTTTGCAGCTTTTAGCACTTAAAAATACTAAAGTGTTTTTGAACCACTTTCTAGCCTGATAGTGAGGAAATGAATGAGATGGTATTCTGTGACTCGTGTGATATCTGTGTCCATCAAGCTTGTTATGGCATCCAGAACATTCCCGCTGGTAGCTGGCTCTGTCATCCTTGTCGCAAGGGAATCAAGAATTGCATCTGCATTCTGTGCAATCATTCTGGTGGTGCAGTGAAAAAAACTAAGTAAGTTGTTTTAGGCTATAGATGAAGTTGAAGTTTCTGCAATGGTCACCCTTGAAGTGTGGATGCTGATGAGAGCTGTTATCTTTATTCCTTTAGGAATGGCAAGGGCTGGGTTCATGTGAGTTGTGCTCTGTGGATTCCAGAAGTAGGGTTTGGAAATGTTTCTAGAATGGAGCCAATTACTCGGATTGAGAATATTCCTGTAAGTTGAAAGAGCAAGTTTACTTATACGTAGCTTAATGCTGGAACCAAGATGGCAGGTTCAGAATAACCCCTACGTTACATATTATAGTGCCACAATAGTGCAACAAAGTGGAAAAGAAATGTGTGTTTAGAAAAGTGTAAAGGGAACTGACACATTGTGGGTATAGGTGTAGACTGACTAGGCATCCCTTTTGTTGTTAGATGGAATATTTCTAGATGTTATGTGATGTTATTAGTCTCCTCATAATGTTTTGAAGTATTATACCATAGGCAAACAGAAAAGGAACCTTCCATGGTCATCAATTTAATATCTTGTTATGAACATTAATATTTTTTTCCAGTGTAAAGATAAAGAATCTCCCGGCTGGCATATGTGTTAAAGGAATGTAGCAAATTTCCTTTTTAACTGTTCATTTTCAGGCCAGCAGATGGAACCTAGTATGTTTTTTGTGCCGTGAGAAGGTTGGAGCCTGTATTCAATGCACAGTGAGTGTTTTATTTTGTCCTCCTAGAAAATGGTAGTCACAGTCTACAGTGCACTAGTTTTTATTAATATGTGAGGTCTAGATTTCTGCAAAATGGTTACACAAAAAGGTGTCATAGTTTAATGATATTAATAATAAGGATAATAATAATAATAGTGATCATAATAATAATGATATTATTATAATTATTATTAGTGTTAGGGAACAATCCCATTTTCTTGAGGTGATTGTAACTTTCAGAATCACACATCTTCACTCTCCCCTCCCACCATCTTTCCTTTCCTCAGCGAGTTCAAGAAACAAAACCGTTGAGTTTTTGAAACCAAGGAAAAAAAAAAAGATTGTACATATGTTCTGTATTTTGTTGTTGCATTATTTAGGTAAAAAGTTGTGTGACTGCTTTCCATGTGACATGTGGTTTCAAACACGGCCTTGAGATGAAGACTATATTAGATGATTCAGCTACAGATGGAGTCAGGCACATAGTAAGAAATAAATCACATTTCTCTTATGGTTTGCCATTGATACTCTTAGCTTGCATAGCAGGCGCTGTTTAGTTTTTACTCTAAATTTCTCCCTTTGCCCTTAAAAAGTGGCAACTTTATATTCTTGCTCTTTTGTCTATTTAGAGTTATTGTACAAAACACAGCTACAGAGGAAAGTCACCCACAAAGAAAACCCAGGAAGAAGGAAGTGAAAAACCCACTACATCTGAAGATGCAGAAAACTTACGTCAAAAGAAGTGAGTATGACCATGTCGTAAAAAGGCACCTTTTTTGTTTAGCATTTTTATTATAATCTGGAGTGCAATAAGTCGTAGTGACAGTTCCGCGTCCAATCTTTGTTTGAGTTTGTTTATGTTAAAAAAGAAATCACTGCAGTTAATGGAAGTGAGTATTTGAATTAATCTTTGCAGACTGAAACAGATGGAGGAGGAGTTTTATAAGTTTGTGAGTGTTGAAGAGATAGCAAAAGATCTCAATCTTCCCAAGGAGCTAGCTACAAGAATACACAAGTTCTGGACACTAAAGAGAAAGGTACTGTTGCTTGTAGAAAGTGTCAGATTCAAAGCTTTTTGATGCTTTGCAAACCACCTTCGTACCGCAGACACTTCTATTACTGAAAATTTACTTTAATCATAAATGAGAGTTGAAAGGATTAATTGAATTTTTTGTGTAATGTTATGTTAGGCTCAAGATGATGTTCCTCTTCTGCCACCTACGCTTCAGCAGCAGGAAAAGCTGTCTGGGAAGCAGGCAAGTATAGACGGAACACTGCAAAAAACACCCTGCATTTTTAATATGTATAGGTAATAGCATGATTTGTAGTGATATTTGGCATAAATACCACTAGTGATATTTCAAAATTAATGTACGTGAAATTTGAGACAATTTTGAAATATCACGAGTTGTATTTATGCCAAATATCACGTACAAATCATGCTATTATTTGTTTATACTACTACCCCCAAAAGGTTTGTAATTTTCACATGTAGGTATTTCAAATTAAGCTGAAATACCACTGCTCTAAGCCAATCAAATTGCAGAAATTTCTCATGTAGTAGTATAAAAGGGGATATTCTTTGCGTGAAATAATATTGTATAAAATATTAGTGATGATGATGATGAGGTGCATTATACCTAACTCCTTATACCTATTGACTAAAGATGAATTTGGGGAGCCACCAGCAAGCCTGGAAGGTAACCATGACAACCCTGTGAGTGGCACCCATCAGGCACCAGTAAACTTATGCAACAGGACGGGAAAGGAAAGAAGACGGCAAACCTTGTGTGACAAGCGTGACAGTAATTTTGTTTGAAACAACTTTTTGCCAAACTCCACTTTCCTTCAAACAGATCTTTTTGTAAAGGACCAGAAAACATTGGCGTTAAGTGAAGATCATGACACAACACACAAGTAATAGCCCTGTCACGTTTTGCTGTCCTCTTCTTCCTGTCCTCCTGTTGCGTGAACTCACTACTGTCACGCTTAGAACCTCAGTGGAGAAATGTGCCAATACTTACAGTGTACCAAAGGATATCCAGAGGGAAAGGAGGACTTGGCGCAAAAGGTGGCTAAAGCTACTACCTGCGAAAACAATGTGAGCAAAACGATTGACCTCAGTGAAAGAGCTGTAAAATTACTAGAGCCCTGCAAATGCTCAAGACCATCCCACTTACAATAATTAGTGAAGGAGTCTGCTGGAAAGCGTCGTGCAGATTTTAACCTAACCCAAATTACATCTAGCCACATTTAATGCATGTGCCTGAAGTATATGAAGTGTGCACCTAATATGTCGTTATAGTGGCTAATTGAAAGAAAAGTTGAAGACTGCTGACATCATAGTGCACTCCACGTTAGTGTTTTATATTTTTTTAAAAATGAAATTGCAGGCTGACTCTGATGTCTGTTGTTCATTTCGAAGGGTGCGGTGAATTCTTCGAGTAATCTTCAAGCACAGCTGGAACGAATCGTAAAACTGCGTTGTAATCTGGAAAAGGTGGGTCATTGCATTAGTACTTTTTAGTTAGTAATGGTTTCTGTTGAACAGGGTAATCTTCAATTACTAGCTTAGCATAGTGAATTAATAGGCCTGAGCCGAGTAGTTAGAAAGGTGGATAACACTGTTCAGTGGATAATTTTGTTTTCCCTAATACATATCTGCTGGATAGTAATTTATAATTATGATGTATAATGCTATCTAGCAGGACCAGACTTGTTACTATTCCTGTGTGTTGTTGAACGTTAATGCAGTTAATCAAGGTATCAGTTGTCACTCTTAACAGGACTTTAAAAACCTAAAACCACTACCACTCATCCTTAGAGTTCTCACAGCCAATCACATCACAGCTCAGCTGGCAGGTGACCAGTAACATGTTGACCTAATTGACCAGTTGAGTCAGTAACCATAGTTACCCTCAACTGACCGTAGACTATGAACTTTGACTGTGATGAGGACTGTCGCACAGGTAGTCAGAAAGTGAGTCACTGTCAAGAATCACTGTTGAATAGCCCAACAGCGTTTCGCCCAGACAACGCGGTGGAAATATTATTATAGATTTTAATTTAGGCACAGAACGTCAAATACACATCGGGCGAATCGACTTAAGTCCAGGCGAATTGCTGTTGGGTGAATCGACTTAAGGTTTGGTACTGTTCGCAACAACAGTCCTATTCAAGACTATGCTCATCCAGAGGATCGTATTCCACGTACCTGTTTTGAGACTATCATTCACTCATCTTCCTTTTCAGCTGCGTAATCTGTGTTATATGGTGACCAAGCGAGAGAAAATGCGACGTGAACTCTACCGTGCGCGCGAGGAAGTTTTCTGGAAAGAGTACGAGGTGATGACAGACGAATCATCTGACCTGGATGAGAAGTCAGTCGAGTGGGTGCTTGCCATTTGCAAGGACAATTTTAGTGGTGATGGTAGCGCGCCGGATTTAGCGGGTGATGGGTGTGGCAGCCTCGCGGATTCTCTGTCCTCCCGTGTTAGTAGTACAGTTGAGTCTTCTAGTAGTACCAGCAGTTCTGGGGACTGCTCTAGCACGGAGCAGGGCGTTGGAGACGAACCTGTCAACAAAGGAAGTACGCGTGGGGCTTCCAATGTCGTAAAAAACTCCGAAGGGGAAGATGAAGAATCATTGGGAAGGAGAACTAGAAGAAGCAGCTACGCTGTTAGTCAAACTTCCAACTCTAACCAGACAACAGATTCAATAGCTGGTGACGAAAAAGAATCCCAAAGCACAGAGAATAGTGACAATGAGCCGGCGAGCAGAAAACGAACTCGAGTTAAGTCAGAGAGCTCGTGCGAAGACAGCTTGATAATTCATAAGCGTTTTCTGCGGAGCTCTGTAACTGAGGTTACAGAGGCCACACTGGAGCAGGCTAGTGAGCATGCGCAGGTTAGGAAGGCCAGGAGGCGTACTAGTCGACATTTATCATTTCCAAACATTGGAGGGAAAACTAATGAGGAGAGCTTTACTGAAACTGAGGCTTCTGCGGATGGTAGCCAGAGTGTTGACGCAGCGTCATGTGAAACATGCTCACAGGCTCCTCGGAGTACAACGAATAGTGAAACTGGAGGTGAAAACCAAACTTCTGAGAAACCAGAAGTGGATGAAGAGAGCCGAAAAGAGAACAATCCGCACAGAGAGGACAATGTGGTCAATTCGGAGAGGACTGAAAACAACTCAGTGAGAGTGGCTGCAAAGCGTAAGCGTTCTAAAAGCGCAACATCAGTGGACGATAACATCGCAAATAAACAAGCTCGCATCACAGATTTCCTGCGCCGGAAGTCATCAAACCGAAAAGAACTAATGCTAACTAAATCACTTGGGTCAAGGGGAAACAAAAAGAGCTGTGATTCTGACGAAAGTGATGAAGGTAAAAGTGGACCCTGCCTAGAAAACCTGAAACACAGTACTTCAACGAGGTCTTTCTCTAATGGCAGAGAGACTTCAAATCGTTATGTTTGTCCACAGTGTAAACTTCAACATGATAAACTTTCCAAGTGTGCCCCGCAGAGCCGGGAAGGGAGTCACACTGCAGAATGCGATGACAACTGGAATCGCAGAGAACTTAGACTCCGCAGTTTTCAGTCACCCAAGCCTCGAACTAGATGTTCTCATGTTGTTTCGCCAAAACCCCACTGTTGTAGTAGTCTAATGTCAAAGTTTTGTCACGCAACAGTTACATAAAATTCCTATATAGCTTAGGGGAAATGTGTTAACTTTAGGGAGTTCAAGAAGCGACATTAGGGAACTTAAGCACCAGGTGTTCTTAGTACCACGGACGCTAACCAGAAGTATTTTTGCAGCATGACAGCCACTGCGCATGTCAAGATGTTCTTGAGCTGTGGTCACGGACTTCAAAACGCGAGTTCTCAGGTTGGAAACCAGAGGTTCAAATTCTGGGTTCTACGAAGAGTATTCGTCATACAAAAGTAGAAATAAAGACATTTTCAACTGAATTCTTCTGTCCGCATTCGTGATGGATTCACGTTGTTTTGCTTAATTATTTGCATTTGGCACGCAAACCGTGTCCCTGATCCAGTTCTGTGCGGCCAGCCATGCCGTTTGTGAAACAAGAACCTCTGGTGCTTAAGTTCCTTATTTTTGAGCAACGCTCGTCAAAGGGAAGTGAACCTTTTTCTCTTTTAATATGCCATGATGCTAAAATATTTGTATTACTAAGTGTTTTTACTGTTATTGAGAGGATTTGCCAAAATATTTGTTCAAAATCATGGCTGAAAGGGAAAAAAAAAGTCCACTTCTGGTTGACATGTGTCGCTCAAACTCCCTTTTGCCTTGTCCTGGCATCACGATTTTGAAGAGCAGCAAATGGGCTGCACCCCACACCTTCCCAGCAACAAATGGGACATAAACGGGGTGGGGTGGGTGAAAGGGAGGGACCCTGGGGAACTCTGTGCGACTTAAAGTAGCAGCCGTAAATGAGTTGTCAAGGTGTCTCGAAATTTGTATTCTTTAGTAAACAAACAAACAAATAAAGAACAGTGTAGCAAACCTTGAATGTCGTAATATATTCCTAAGATTTTTTGTTAGTTTTTCTAGATAAAATCCTAATATGTAACCATTCAAAAGAAGTTCTTGAGTAGTATGTTACTTTAACAGAATATTTTTTGGGTTATGATGAAAATGTCAAAGTGGAGTTTTAGTGGAATTTGGGGAGTGGAAAGTAAAAAAAATTAATAATCTTTTACTAATCCTCACTTCTTTTAACGGTTTGGGTCAAGATTTTGTCAAAGTACAGAAAATTTTATGTCAAAAAGGTGCAATTTAACCAAAGCACAGTAGCGTTAAATATAGTGTTAATAGCGTTAACAGTAGAAGTGAAGATTTTAAGAGGGCTACATTTCTATGGACAAAAAGACTTGGTAGTTGTCAAATAAGGACCAAAAGGGTTCCACCTCTTTTCAACTTGTCGGCAATCGTTGTGTTTGAACTTTTGTAGAACACACAAACATCCTTGATCATCAAGTTTGTTGTTGTTGTCATTGTTGTGTAGTCTTCTGTAGAAATCTAAGAACAAACTTTATTTTTATGTAACTTTGGTATAATGTTGTAGACTTTAAGGATTTTTAAATAACTTTGACAAAAATATTTGCCCTTTAAAGACAAAGGGAGAGCGAAAGTTGTACACATGCTCACCCCTTGTAGGGTAATCCAAGAAGTCTTAAATTCTGGATTCCAGTCTTTGTCAATGGAACTTGCATTCCGCAGTCCAATCGTTAGTGGGGCATTCCGGATTCCTTGAGCTGCATCCTGGATTCCAATGCTCAGGATTCCAGACTGCACAATAAAAAATTTCCTGCATTCCACAAGGAAAAATTTTATTAGATTTTAGAATCCGGATTCCTTTACATGGGGTGAACATACAGTTAACCCAAACGCACAAGACTAAATGTTGGTAATGGTTGTATTCTGGTCTCCAGAACCTTGGGTCCAGCGTCATCCACAATAATAAGAAAAGCTCAGGAATCGAGAATATTTTGCACGAACCCTTCTACAGGGTACCCAGGCAAATTTTGTGTATTAGTCATTGTACAGGTGGAGGCTGAAATGACTTTTTCTTGTGTCCCATTCTTTGGTAACATTTGGATTTAGACCTGGATTTGCACTTGGTTTGTTAGTAACAGTGTGAAACAATAAAGTTCCTTTGAAATGATGTATATCCGCCAGGTCTCACCAAGTCTTTGCTCTCCTGGACTGTTTACCTTTGTATTTTGTGTAAGTTTTTCTATACAGTATTTCCTCATATTTTAAATTCCAGCAAAAATGATGGGCACTTATTGAATGGAGGGCATGTAATCGAGGGGGTACTAATTACTAACTGAAGCAAAGTGGCCAAATTCTTAAAACTGACATCCACTTAAACGTAAAGCCAACAACATAATACTTGATAATCAAGCAGAGCATTGTCCATATGCTTACTGTTTTCCCTTGTGAGAAAGTGAGGAGGAGGGCTGGTGGGGTGCTTATTTAATATCATGGCCTTGGTGGTGGGCGCTTATTTGGGGAGGGCGTTTATCAGAGCATGGGGCGCCTATGGTATGGTATTTACCTCATACTTGTACAGAATGTAGCATTTGCCAGTGGAATGTTTTTGTTTTGAAAAATTTGGACCTGCAATACACCAAAAGATACATACAAAAAAGTAATTGAATGCGACTATCTGTGAATATGGGTTCATCTGTATGTAACAATTTTATTACTTGGTAAAAATTGTGGTCAAAAATTGCAGATGCCAGTTTGAAGTTTTGGCAAACTTAAAAGTTTGCCAGTAGTCTTAAAAGTCAGCGTTCTGTCTCCAGTTGCAATGCTTGTGGCGGAAAAGGGGAGAAACAAATTGTGTTGTTATAATCCAAGAAGACTTGAACGTCCCTTCCGTACCCCAAATTTTCTATGCGCTGTCTGCTGATATGTAATTCCATTGCCTTTTCCAGCAGTGTTTTTCTTTCCTCTTTTTCGCTAGCATAGCATTGGTGGGGAAGCCCGCTAGACGGAGCAAGACATGAGAAACGAGGGCAGTAACCTCTCCCGTCTCACGCCTTCGGTCTCGCGCGTGGTCATTTGCGTGTCTCAGGCGTTTAGCTTGACGGACAAAGAAAAAAGAGAGACTGCTTGTTGTCTAGCTGCACTCGAGAAAAACACTTCTGGTACCCAGGGTATGGCCTCTTGATACATACATACTTTATTTGACAAAGCAGGTTTGTTAAAATGGCAGCGAAAAGCTGATGTGAATCTGATGTTTAGAATTTTTCAAATTACAACACTAGCTTCATGGCAGTTTGCCCAAAGTGTTCTGTGAAAAGGAGCTAACAGAAATATTGTAAGTGTTAATATAACATATAATAGCATTATTTAACTGACTTTAAGCTATCAGATGATGAGGAAAATTAAGGGCACGGTGCCTCACGAACAGTTCCACATAAATATAATATATATTATTCTTGAGAATTAAAATGAAAATTATTTTTTTATGGTCAAAAAATTTTAGCATAATGGGTAGCATTGCAATAATTTTTGGAAAGTTATTATAATTATCATGAAGTGCTATATTTCCTCAAAAATACATCCATACTCTAATGAGGGTCCTTGCTCGAATGAGCACGTCTCGCCACCATCAAACTGCCCAATGTTTTGTAGAGTCATTCTCCTCTGTTTTTGTGTGTAAGACTCTTTCATCAGACATCAGGTTTTGGATATGAAAACAACACATAATCCCTGGCATACTTTGACACTACTTTTTGCAACAGCTTGGATGGCACATCTGCAAGATTTGTATCATAATGTCGCTTTCCTGTTGTTTGATACCATGACTGTTGCTTTGGAAAAGAAACCTGCTCCTCCACATGAAGTTTTCTTAATACTTCAGTTGCGTCGCTCTCAAGATTTTCAACCGATCCTATAAAATCATATGAAACTGCACAAGGTTGGCATAACTCAAACAGTGGCATCCAGTGCTCGTTCATATCTTCTACACGACTCTCTGATACGTATTGTAAAAACTCTTTTAGAGACACATCATCTCCTTTAGCATTTACTGGAGCATTTTTACGCACGTGCTTGATTATTTTTCGGCCGTAGCTTTTGTGAAAGGAAGTGTTATTTCGAACAAACTTGTCTTTGTATGCTGACTCTAGTCTGGACAGAGGGTCCCTAACAAACATGAACTTGTAGTATTCTCTAAGTGTGCGCGTAACTGCCAAAGGAGGTAGATCTTCCAATGTTGTAAAGCCCTTGTGATTGACTCTGCGAATAGCATTAGCATCAACTGCTTCACCTTGAATCACCATCAACACTCTTTTCCAATTTGAACAGGCAGCTTTAGGCACAGCGCAGAACAGGAACTTGTGTTCATCATTGACTAAGATGTGTTTGGCAAGGATCTTTTTCTCTGTTAGTGAGAGGGAGTCCCAAGATTTCTTTGTTCTTCCGCATGCTTTTCTCACTGATTCTAGTCTTTGTCCACTTGTAACCTGAAATGGAGACAGCATTAAGTCAAAAGCTAATATAAAGAAGCTATAATTCTCTGGAACCACCTGTACATGGCATCCTGATGGAGAGGGGTGGGGGAAGTACTTGTGGGGTGCAGGGGTGTACTCTGCCACCTGCATGCCATTACAAAAATTAATGCATACTAGAAAAAACTTTGAAGAGAAATAAAAAACAGCTAAAATTTAAAGCTAATACAAAAACCAAATGCCATGTTTTTCCCTGATTTCAACACAAGCAAGACCCATGAATCCTGCCAGAAGAACAGGGGCCTGTTTCTCAAAAGTGCCGATAATTAACGGGCCTGGTAAGCTGTCTCCGTTTATAGAAAAGACTGAGGTTTCAATAGTTTTTCATCTAACATGATAAAACTATGAGTTAATGAAATAAAATTGAGTAGTTTGTTAGCCAGGACCCATGCTCTTATTCTTTACATTTTGGTTTGAATAGTTGATTTCGGGCCTAAAAAGTTACCGGGACTTTCGAGAAACAGGCCCCAGGGTCCCAAGATAGAGAAAGATGATTATGTCACCTTCTGATAAATACAGAAATTTAATCAAGTCACCTGTGCGAAACATTCTGGGAGACATGATAGGGTTGATTTGAAAAACTGAACAGACCTCTGGAAAGTTTCCAGCTATGCCACTGAAGGGCCAGGGGAACAGTAATCCTGACTCTTGCCTTGGTGGTATACCTTTTTACCCCTGACTCTGACATTTCCACTTTGGCCCCATCCCTTAACTATTGTCTACCATTGGTTACCTTTCTTACAATATAACTTAACAATTAACAATAATATTTTTGGATGAGGTTGAGCAAAATATTGTGATTTGTCAGTCAGGCGAGTCAAAGCCAAAGGCATGCAGTGAGGCAAATATTTATTGATCTGCGAGACACTGACAAATCACGATATTTTGCGATAACTGAGTTCAAGAATTGTTTTATCATTTGATCACCAAGTTTGTTTTTTTATGAATATACTCGGGAAGCGAAGCGATCTGCCATTTTCACACAAGAAAAATAAAAAGAAGGATGAAAATGTGGTTTCGTTTATGCATGAGCAGAATATTATTTGCAGCCAAACACAGGTGGACGATATTACGCATGAGCAGACCATTATTTGCAGGTAGTTATTTGTAGGTCATGTGGTGGGCTTTCTGCCAGTGAAAAGGAAGAATAATTTACATCAAATGATACTATAATTTATTGTTAGTCCCCTTTTTTCCTTCAGGCCTTAACCCTCCATATATATATAAAAAATTAACATGTCCTAGTCCTATGCACTGGTAAGTCTTAAAAAGTCTACTTACAACAGAATGTTTCCCAGATAATCCTTTGATCCCTGCAAAATAACAATTTTTAATTAATATCCGAGAGAGGATACCCTTCGACACAAGCTATGTATTTGGTGTGTATACTAAGGGTATGGTTTTTGGCAAAGGCATTTTAGTATGGGATTTTAAGGAAGTGCAAAACTCAGGGAATTTTTAGTCTCTGTAGTAAATGCCTGGGGTATGATTCGTGGAACAACAGGCTGATTTAGCAACAGAATAAGAACGTCAGTTGACGACGGCATGCGCCAATCAAACAACTGGCTTGACCGATGGCAGAGTGGCAAATTGGGCACCGGAAGTCGAATTTAGTCCTTTCAGCGCGCTTTTCCATTGTCAAATGACGTTCCCGTTCTGTTGCTAAATCAGCCTAATATCAATAACCTGGGACACTGAAAGCTTAGAATACCACACAAATTAACACTGGCTGCTGTTAGAAATAATTTTTTTGATGCACTAGAAACGACAAAACAGAAAAAGACACATTTCAAACTCCTCCCCCCTCTATCTACAGTTGACAAGACATTCCTTTTCTGCTTTTAGTTCCACATGCAAAGTCAGCACTTAAAAGTACAGCTGCATTCCCTATTTACTTAATCATATAGTCACAGAATAGAATAATTTATTTAATGTCAAAGACGTGGGAAGTATTTGCACAACTTCCGAGCCAGAGGTTCAAGTTAAAAACGCTTGACAAATTAAAAATACAAAAGAAGATAAAATGTGAATTATGCATATACAAATATAAGAAACCTTATCTATTAAAAAACTATTTTTTTGAAAAAAAAACCCTAAAAAACTTAAGTACATGCATTAAAAATGGTTTAAAATGGACTAATCGTAATTATAAACTGATTAAAATATTAAAACACAAATAAAAACTAGCCCAAGAGTATGTGAAAAAGTAAAAATAGATAAAATTATATACAGTTCATACAGTGGCACCCTGTGAAATTCACACACCCTTGTCTCACAAACGTACACTATTTTTTATTTAGACCAGCGGGAATATCAAACAGCTCTAAATTTGAATGATTTATTGTTTCGCGCGAACTATTGACTGCACGCCGCAAAGTTTAAAAACGTCTGCCGAAACTACATGTCGCAAGTTTTAGAGATGACAAAAATCACACAATTATTCTACAAACATCTTTAGAATACAGGACGCTGCGTGGCGTTTGGGTATCATTGCCTGCGCCATGCATGGTCGCAGCGGATTTAACAAAACCACTACACCAATATAAAATCTAGTTCAAAAGTTCCATCCATCGAGTTATTTCATCAAAAAAATTGTACTATTAACCGTTGGAAATGTAAAATATTAAAATAATGTGCCGTCTCGCACATAAGCAGGAAGTTTTGGGGACTGAAAACACTGCTCTTTTTCTCTTCAAAAATCTTTTAAAAAACATTCAGCTTTAATACAAGACTTTCCATTCTCGGTTTGTTTGTTCAGCTGGCAGGCAGTTTGAACGAGGTTTGAGCACTCTGCTCAACAAATATAAATTGGTGAAATCTACTATTTCTATCGAAACGAGTTGCAAACACAAATTGCACAAAGGTATCACAACAACAGTTAAACACTTGTATCAAATTTCTACTGACCCTTCCCAGAGCTGGCAATTTCTGTATGGCAAAGCACTGATAATTTCCCCTATTTACACAGATACTGGAGAAAATGTAAACAAAGCCTTGTTGGAAATTTGCAAAAAACGTGGCATTTTATTAAAGGAGACGCCTATTTTCTGGATGTTGAATCATCAAAGTCAGGAGAAACGAAGTTCGAATACGTTCTTTGTCTTTTGGAATTAATATAAATCTTGCAAGCAAAGTAAAATCAAACAGAAAATTGCCAAAATGCTGTGACATAAACAAAATAGAAGTGGAAATCAATAGAAAATGTAAAGCCGCGATACTGTAATTCATAGTCATACAAATCAAAGCTCGAAGTCAAAGATCTTACCGGAAATCCAAGATTTAATAGATGACGATGCCTTGACTGACTTCCGTGCGTTGGAAAAGGACGATTTTGAACGCGAAAGAAAAAGTTCAAGGCCAACCACAACACTAAATATTAGGAGACAGACGATAACTTTGACTCTAGAAATCCTCATCCTTGTGAGCGCATTTTAGAGATTCAGGAAGTTTCTCCGTAATGAAGACTACGGACAGTAGCATGTCACATTTACCACTTCTGGGCTGTTTGGGGTTGTCCCTCTTATCCCGACAGCTGAAATGGTTAATCATTACACTGTTTGCCTTCAAGGCAACCAATCACTTAGCTACGATACTTTGATGGGTTTGCACTAGGGCATGGGGGAGGGACCCTAAGTTCTTACATTTTTTGGCGCACATTTCTTATGAACTGAAGGTGTTCAGAACGGGAACCCAGAGACTGCTTGTAGACTCCTCCTACTTTCCTTTGTTTACATGCAGGCTAGGAAAGCCAATATTTTTTTAACCCACGGGCATCAGTTTTTTCTTTGTGCGTGAGGAAACATTGTGGGGAGAGGGAGGGTACTCATTCTGTTGCCTGTGTTGCTCTTTACACTTCACAATCTATTTATGTTTAACCCTGAAGCCGAGGGCTTTTATATACAGTGGAACCCCGCCTTACGGCCACCTCGTTAATACGGTCACCTTTTTATTACGGCCACTTTTTTTTGGCGGCCCTGCAAAAACGTCCATTTCTGTATTTTGTTCTTGTAAAGAAACCTTCTTTAATACGGTCACCTCGTTATTACGGCCAATTTTTTTGGCCCCTTGCGGTGACCGTAATAACGGGGTTCCACTGTATATATCTTTTAAAATAGATTTTTATCAATGAATTTGTATTAACTTTATCAATTCTCGCATACAGTAATCTTTCGTTGGATAATGTGATGTATTTTTTTTTACCTTTCAACAAAATGATGTTTCCAATGTCGTTACTCTTTTGGTGACAGCGAGTGCTAAAGAGAGGAAAAAGAACCCCGACAGCACCCTGCACCATTGGGCGTCTCGTGTTTACCCCTCCCCAGACGGGGAGGTTGTTCCAGTTCGTGCGCTGTAATGGTCATATGACTTTCTTGGGGTTTCACCCAAACGCTGATAGTCGCAGGTTGAGAGCGTTTACTGAAGCTCTAGTTTCTTCGGCTTTTCTGTCATTATTACAAGCGCGATGGAACGAATTTGGGTTTTCTTGGTCTGTGTAATGTTCCTTGGAGCAGTTTCAACGGCTTCGGTAAAGTATAACATTTGGAATCTGGTTTTAACTTGCCGAATTCCAGCAAACCTTGTAGATTTGGTAAGCACATCTTTCCAAGAGAAGCTGAGGATCGGAACTTGTCAAAGCATGTTTGAAATGAACCTTATAAATATTACATCCTAGAGACATAGTTAGCAACATAACGCATGTTAAAGCTCGACTACTCCTAAACTTTTTGCGTCGCTGCAATGTCTTTCAGACTCCGTGCAAAGCTTCTTTCTTTTGGTCAATCGAAATTGAAAGTATAAATCACACACAACTTGATTACGTATGGATTTACTGACTTGCAATCTAATTAAGTTGAATTTTCGTTAATTTTATTTCCTAAGATCAAAGGAGACCCTTCGTTCGAACGTATGCTGCACAAGGTGAGTTCAAAGAGGTAAAACATGCTGCTATGGAGGTGGGTTGGAGGCGGGGGCTGGGCAGGGCCGGGTATTGTTCCCGGGGTGGGGTGTTTTGACTGACCTTACCGGGGAAGGGGATATTTGAATCTTTCTTTTTCTGATGAGGCAACTTGGGCAGATGAGACTGAGGCCAACATGACATTTTCCTGCTTCACAGTTGCACCTTGTTTCCTTGAAATCTTAATGATCACCAGATTTTAAAACAAGATTCTGGCTTTGTTTACAATGAAAGGAGGTCTGGTAAATCTTCCAGATCAGAGGGCTACCAAGGGGTAGAAGCGCCAGGCAACATAGTCCCGAAAACTGGCAGCAATCCTCTTGGAAAGCACCCACAGTTGACAGAAAAAGAGGAAAACTGTGACAGCAACAGTCCATTTTTTAAGTTTTGAAAGTGACAATGTGGTCACTTTTGCTTTTTGGCTCTTTTGTTAGCCAAATAACCAACTCTCTTCTATTTTTTTTACAAACATTTTCTGTTATTTTCTTTGGAGCATGTTGTTATTATAGTATTCACATTCAAAAATAGTCTCTTCAGGGAGGAAGGTTGATAACAATTAATGCACTATATTCTCGGTAAATTTCAATTTGAGTATCGCAAAAATTTATGCTGAACCGACAGCGACATTTTTCCTAACCTACCAGGTAACATGCAGTCTTAGATAAGACCAACAAAGTGACAGCATACCCCTCTCCCCCTTGGAAGTCCTCAAATCAGACTTAGAAGGGAGGGGTGTGACCTCTTGCCATTTTTTCCTGCTCCATTCTCTTTGCACCACCCCTATATACCCTCTGGACACCTGGAACAATTTATAACAGAGTGATAAGGCACTGTGGCTGAGTGTTTGGCATATCAGATTTGCAATCAGGAAGTCCCAGGTGTGAGTCCCACTAACAAACTCTGGCTGGATTTGTTCTTGGTTGTCCCACGTTCAAATCCTTGGGATGTGTAGCTAGCCTGGGATGGGTTGCAACTCTCACCAAACTCTCACTTGAAGAATATCGTTGACAGTTATTAAAAAACAAATTAAATTTAATTCACTCTGATCTGCTACATTTTTGTTAAAATTTTTGTCATGCTCACAGAAATAATACACAGTAAATTTATTTGATAGTTTTCAGACAAGGACTGTGTTAACAATGCCTATCCACCCAAGGAAAGGTATGGTCTTAATCTAATTAGAAAAAAATATATATTTAGCAAGTTTTTGTGATAATATTAATTGTCTTACTAGCCTGAGGACTGAGGCGTGTCAAAGTCGATCACAACCGTGTGGCTGAAGATGTTTGATTTGATTGGTCATAGTGTGTAGTTTTATAAAATTAGAACTGCACACAAAACAAAGTCTACCATGTGAAAGTACTACTGAAGAAGTTTCATTTGAATGGTCACACCACAGGATTTGATCCGCAGAAACAAAAGTTACAACTGCATGAAAATCATTTAGAACTCTCTGAAAGTACTGTTGAAGACTCCAGAAGTGTGCATTGGACAAGAGGAGGGAGATAACGCGGACCTTCCTCTTAACCAACATTAGTTCCCTTTTGAATCTCTGTATTGTTTATTGTTTTTATTCCCTAGGAAAGTAGGCTGGGAAATTGTGAACCTTGATCTTCCTGCAAACCAGAGGTACAATGATCTTGCAAGCAAGAAAGTAAAAGAGGTGGATCATGTTTTTTGTTAATCTGTGTTGTGGTCTGTGTTATTTTTCGAGCTTAGTTATGTGTAGAATATGGTACCTAGAAAGTCTTATAGCTAGCTCTTGGAATATTTTGAATCTCAAAATCGTTTGTGGTGATTGAATCTCAAAATCTTGAAGTATTTTGTTTGGTTCTTTTAATCTTGGAATCTTATACGTTTGCCCCAAACCCAGCTTGCATATGCATTTTTCTTGTCATCTTGGGGATTTGCTTTTTGTCAGCCCTCTTTTTTTTTCTTCAATAAAAGTTTTTATCATTTAACATTGAACAAAAAAGTCAGTTCTGCTTTTTTTTCAAAATTGTATGTTCTTGTTTTTAAGCTCCTCAATTTGCTGAGCTACATCAAGAACTTTACAAGCTTTATCATGGATGGCAAGTTGTTTGGAATTATAGACAAAGACTTGGTATGTTAACATGATTATCTGGGCATATATACTTGACTCCTTGATTGCTTTGCTCCATTTGAAGTAATTTCTCCTATAGTTTCCATGCCATCGCACTTGTCCCAAATTCAGTCTACTTGGATACTTGCGGTCGGTGAAATCTTAGGCTCGCTAGAAACCACTTTACTCAGAATTTGCAATGAACTGCCATGCAAAGAGGGGGTCGGTAATTTCTATCTAGGCCAGGGGTGCAAGCAGCATACTACTTGTAGGCTCCACTGTATTATGTGCTAGTTGTAATTCAGATCTTTATAAAGTGGCCCTGTGGCTGTCGGCCTTGCGAAGAGTTTGTGCCTTTACTACAACTACACCATCTAAACTTTGGACCTTTATTTGTTAATCTTTTGCTTTGCGTAGGGTCCTCTGGCTGACACGCTTCCAGCGCCATATGGGGATGAAATCAAGGGATTATCTCAAGCAACAGGAATTCCTCTTGGTATGAAGGAATAATTTATTTTGCTCCTCTCTCCCTTTCTACTGCTCAACAATTGCAAGAGATCTATAAAATTATTTTGTAATATTTAATGTCCAGCTATTTTTGTGTCATTATCCTCATCTTCACCATCATGAACTCACCTAAAAGCATCAGAATTTGTCTTATTTAATGTTCCAAGGTTTATAGCATTTATTCTTCTCTTGTCTTTCTAGGTGAAGTTGTGCTGTACAACATCTTTTATGAAGTTTTTACTCTTTGTACTTCTATTGTTGCTGAAGATAAAACAGGTGCATTTTTAAGCTCCATTTTTTGAGTTAGAGAATACTGGTTCTTTCCTTTATTCTACTTTAACTATTCATGAATAAAGTTTTACAGCCTCTAGATGCAACTGTTGGTAATTTAAGGGTTATGTAATCCTTACATGCCAGAAACTTTTTTCCAGGGAATCTGTTTCATGCTCGAAACTTGGATTTTGGTCTGTTTCTTGGGTGAGTGCAATCTGACTCTCAAGCAATTTATCTGTCCATTTGAGATTTGATTAAGGTATTTGTACTAAATTTTTTAACTTAAAAGTAGTGCTGCAATTACACCACTTTTAACTTCCAATCAGTTCTAGTCTATGAAAGTGTATTCTTGGCTTCTACATGTATTTCACAATACCACTCCAGTTGCACCCTGGAGGGGTGGGGTGGGTACAAAGAATACTGCAGGTAATAGTGGAGCTGTCCTGCACACAAAGCTCTCACAGTGGAGTGCCATGGGTAATAAAATTTGGTAATGAAAGAAATTTTGGTAATGATAAAATCATCTACTGTCTCAGGTCCATTTTTTTGAGAGCTCCACTAATTTGGCTTTGGCTAAATTTTTTTTAGGTGGGATCAAAAGAATGACACTTGGATGTTGAGTGAAATTCTTAGGACACTTATTGTCAATATTGACTACCGTGTAAGTATCATTAATAAAATAATTTTATTATGGTCTGTGTGGCATGTGGTCTATAATTCCTAATGAGATATTCCATAGAGACTTGACAATATTACTTCCAACTTTGTTAAATAGAACAAATTGATTACTACTGGTACTTTATTTTCAGAGAAATGGCCAGACAGTGTACAAAACAGTCGCCTTTGCTGGATATGTCGGTGTCATATCAGGACTTAAGCCAGTGAGAATTCCATTTAACTTATGAGAGACAGCTTAACAATCTAACACAAGGGCCCGGTTTTTCATTTTTGTGCCAGATGTTTCTTACTTGTTAATGTACTTACTAGTGGTAACAACCTACAGAGAAAAAGCTTTGTATTCAGCAGCCAGCTACATATGCCAACTCTCCCAAATTACATGTATCTAATGATCTCCTTGATATGGCACAAATCTTGCCGCCTCCCACCATGGGTCACCAAATCCCCTGGATAAAATCTAATTTTCAATCAAGTTTCATGTGCTAATTAGTTTGGATTAATTTAGGCGATTTGTTTCAAAATTAAAAAGAATACAATGTTTACAATAATAGTTCCGTTTCAGTGGCATTTTGGCGTGTATTTCATCCCTGAGGTTATTTGTGAAATAGCAATGAATAATATAATCTGTTAATGCTCACATGCTATCCTGTGTTTGTGAAAAATAGTAATAATAATTATTATAAAGCTTATTATTGTTGATTTTCATTAGGGAGTGCTTACTCTTACAGTGAATGAAAGATTCAACATAGATGGAGGTTTTATTGGTAAGAACTTATTGATCACTGAATGCACAGTAGCTGAATAATTCAGATATAACAATAAGTATGATAAGCGCTGATATTTTTTTATTGGAACCCTAAGAACCTTCCAGGTGACACCAATTCTGCCTTGAATTTTACATCTGTTTTAAAGCTTGATCTTAGTAGAAAACCTACAATTTATTCTTGTAGTATTTTTGTAAGTTCGTGCAATGTTAGAAAAAATTATTTACCACTAAATTAAATATATCTAAAAAATGAGGCCCCCTAAGGGGAGGAGGTATGCACGTCCATAGCCTGAATTTCAAATATGGTCATTTTGCAATGTGAGGAGTAGGCCCTGTTGGTATTTAACCCATCTTTATGACGTTTATCGCCATTTCATCGAGACTTAAGTGCTGTTTCAGGGCCATGCAGCTTGTCAGAATTTGATCCTACCAGGGTCTTGCTAATAAAGTAAGTTCAAGAGAAGAACCATGCATGGTTGAATAGCTAAAACTATCTGCGAGTTTATGCAACGGGACGGCTGGAAGAAGAGGATGGCAAAACGCTTGTGTGTGACAAACGTGACATGGCTATCAATTGCGTGTTTTGTCATGATTGTCACTTAACATTAAGGTTTTCTGGTCTTTAATGAAAAGATCTGTTTTAAGGAAATTAAAGTTTGGCAAAAAATTGTTTCAAACAAAATTATTGTCCCGCTTTGTCACACAAGCTTTGCCATCTTCTTTCCCCTCCCATCCTGTTGTGTAAATTCACTAATATTGTGATGGCATGTTAAATTTCAGCCCATTTAAATCTTATCAAATAATTTAGCATAATTATTTTAGACTCAGTGTGTCATCACATCTTGTTACTTACAGGGATTATAGAGTGGATACTTGGCAAAAGAAATGCAAAATGGTCCACTTTTCTTACACGTGATGTTCTGGAAAACGCAGCCAGGTAAGCTGAAACGTTTCTCAAAAAAATATTCATTTTCATTTCTGCAAAGCTTTTTTTAAATAAATCACAAAATGGAGGTTTCGTCTAGAAAAACTTTTGGAGACATGTGCTATGGTGTAAATGTAATCCTAACGTGTAAGTTAATGTGGATAATTAATATCCTGGGCTCATGGTGGTCTTTGAAATGAAACATCTTCAGTAGTGCAGTGGTACTATTAATTTTGTGTTGCACATTGTAAATGTCGTTCTAACTTTTTGTCTGGTGGAGAAATCAAGTAAAAGCTACAGTTGGTACCTTGCTTGGTACCTCTATTTTGTCTTTCAGCGTACAGAACAAAGTTGTTATTTCTCATGACATTTCATTAAATTTAGCACTCTTGACCATTTAAGTGTTAACACAAATATTTATTGTAACTTTTGAAGTTAATATACACAATACAAAGTATTTGCACTCTGTGATGAGGTTTGAATGTAGACACTGTTTCCCGCCAGTGTGAATCTGAAAGATAAGCCATGTCTTGTTTATGATGAACATTGAATTGCTTTGTTTTTATCAGTTTTAAGGAAGCTCGAGATATGCTGACAAATGATGAAGTGCTGGCTCCAGTTTATTACATTCTTGGGGGAACTAAATCTGGCGAGGTAACATAGCATTTGATTTAATTCTGAATGCAAGCAGCACTGATTCTTGTTTTGAAACTCAGTGACTTGGTGAAGCCATTTGCTGAGCTTGCTGTTGCATACTAAAAGCAACTTTGTGATTTCTTTTGAACGTTAATGAGTATGGTCATATCTTCATTTAGATTTATTTAGACCTGTTTTGCATCATCTTACAGGGTGTAGTCATAACACGTTCTCGAACAAAGTGCCTGAACCAGATGAGGTAAATATTATTGTCAAGTCTTACTGTAAATGGTGCTCAGAAACAACTGTTGGCAGTCATGCATGGTTGTGTGTTTATTTTACCTCTTTTAATTTGAAAGCATCTTGTACATTGCCAGAGTTACGAATAAAATCCATGCAAATGATCACATTAAATCTTCAACTAGGGTTGCTCTGTTCATTACACTAACACTGAAGTGGTCATCTACATGCACCTTTGAAATAGTACTATCTACTGTTTTTTTTTATCTTAATCATTCTGCAGCTAACCAAAAAATGGAAAAAAGTACCAGACATTAAAATCAATTCATACTAATAAAAAAAATGTTAGTGTTAATAATAAATTTAATGATTTAGTTGTTTTTGGATGATTTCAGAGTTCTGGTAATTTATTAGAATCACATGACACTATTGTGCTTGTTGTATTATTTTTGTATTTCAGCCTCAATCCGTCAAATAATACCTGGTTTGTCCTGGAGACAAACTACGACAACTGGGAACCACCACTAGTGGTAGATGACAGAAGGACCCCTGTGAGTTGCAAAACAATCCTATGTTAGCCCCTTGATATCCACATACACAATCTTCAGACTTATCTTCATAAATT